GCGAATATCTCCGTCTGGAACTTTTGTGCGTACATGGAAAAAAAACTGGAGCGCGGAATCCTACAGAAGTTCGCCCAGTTCAGAACACCTTCCGAAAAGATTGTCCTGCCCGGATTGTTTTCTACTATAGCAAAAAAGAAAATTGTATTCACTGCACGCAGAGCTCTTTGGAGCACAATCATGAATTGTTGGAGGCACTTCACTCCCATTATCCTTCTGTTCGACGATTATCAGCTACGGATCGTGAGAAGGCCAAACAGTTGCTACGCATGGGAACGAACGTGAGCGCGATTGTTGCTTCTATGAAGCAGAATACTGGAAAAGATGTTCGCCCGAAGGACATTCACAACATTCGGACTCAAGATAAAGCAAAAATCCGGGGCGCAAAATCGGATGAGGAGATTTTGCAGCAAGGCCTGCAGAACGCAAAAGAAACGGACCCCGGGTTGGAAATTAGGCACTCCACAAACGCAGAAGGTGGACTCGACGTGCTTGTTCTTGTAACAAGCAAAATGAAAGACACATTTGCTAGGTATTTTGTAAATGTCATAAGAGCAACCGTTTTCTTCCGTATACATGATTTGTAGTCCACTTTAACTTGCAAAGAAGAGTGGCTTCGCACTAGGCAGGCCCTGTTTTCAGAATTATGTATGATGCCATACTGTATTGCGAAGTACGGAACACTGGACAAGGCAGTGTTCAGTACTGTTGTGCAACGCACCGCGACATTTCGTTGCGGGACGTTTTTTCGACAGGACATCACGCAGTGAGACATTCTCAACCGAACGCCGTGTGGGAGTTTCGACGATAAGACATTTTGCCCATCAGCGAAACGGGTCATTGCGCTTACAAAACGACCGAAAATTTAAAGAGTTACTTACACCAAAGAATAAAGCATTTAAGAAAACACGACTAAAGACACAATAGACACAATATATGGAACAAAATACCTAAGAAACCAAACCAGATTCTTGAAAAATCCATGAAAAGCTAAGAACACCTAAAAAAACTAAGAAAGCTTAGAAAGGGTATGAAAATCTTAAAAAATCCAAGAAAGTCTAAGAATGACGCCTAAGTATAACCCAAGAAAAAGTTGAAAGAATCGGAAAGCTGAAAAATATATATGAAAGCCAAAAATAGAAAGCGTAAAAGCAACAAAACCTAAATGAAATCACGAACTTAACCTAAGAAGCCGAAAAAATGGCAAACATAAAAGAAAAAAGCCACAGTCTGGAAATGACGAGCGCATGTAAAACAGAGCGCGACGAAATAATTTGTGGCAACTTGTCGCATGATTTGGAAACACAAAGACAATTGTCCGTGCCGCAAGACGTGTGGTTTGTTTAGCCGATGGGAAATGTCTCAGAGCACGATGTCCTGAGCCGAAGTGTTCCAGCGTTTGTATGCCCGCGGCGAATTGTCTTCGCAGCGAAAGGTCAAGCATAGAAACTGAGTGCGGCAAAATGTCCCGCACCTAGTTGTTCTGAGTGCGGTTAACAAGGATACCCGTTACTGCCGTTTTCTCGCGGTAATGAAATCCAAAGCTACAGAAAAGTTTTCCATATCGCGGTCGTGATAACACCCTTTCGGCAAAGGTTACGCGTACCATTCGGTCTTTAACGATTACTGGTTCACTTTCACTTTTCGATAAATCTTACCGCTTGAAAAAATTATTGAACCGCTTGACAACCAAGATGGATTACAGCTGTAGTTACACGCCACAGTATGGTTTAGCTATTAACTGCTTGATTTTAAAGTCGATTACAGTATCTTCGGGTAAATACTATCGAAAACGTTGGAAGGTGTGGAGAATGTCAGATTCAAAAACGTAAAACTCTGTTCGTTTCAAAACGCGCTCTACGCAGTCTTAATGAAATCTGTAAATCTACCGGATGGTTTAAGTGCAAGCTGCGTACTGCAGCTTGAGCTCCCAGGACAGCGGGTATCTGCGGGGTGGAAACGTGGGAGGCAACAAGCAGCTCTTCAGCGCAAAATTCTTACTCAATTCTTTCACATTACGCTAAATAGCTGCACTGCTAGAACATTAGAGTTTTAATGGCAGTACTTATTAAACCATGAGCTAGTTACCTAACCTATCTATTCAGATGTTGACTTTCCAGATAATTTAAATTAAACTATGATTTACAGATTTCCAGAAGTTTTGTTTATGGATGGAACATACAATGTAACAGCTGAGCGGTACCCGTTGTACGTGTTAGCAGCGCAAGACAACAACGGCTATACTAGACCAGTTGCCGTCGGTTTTGTTACAAAGGACAACAGCGAATTTATCGGAACTTTCCTAAGGTTGTTCAAATCAACGACTGCTGGCAAAAATGTCGCCCGTATATCAACAGTGTTCATAGATAAAGACCGCAAAGAAATGGCTGCACTTAAGGCAGAACTGCCGGGAGTGAGTGTGCTGTTGTGTTGGTTCCACGTGTTGAAGAGCATCAAGCTTGAAGTGGCGGCATCGTGTGAAACTGGAAAACGCAAAAAAGAAATGTTTGTTGCCTTTCAATCATTGTTGTACTCTAAATCAATGGACGAGTACCACGTCCGTCTCCAAAACTTTGGAAAAATCTGCACGGAGGAGTTTTATGAGTACTGCGCTCGCAACTGGTTTCCAGTTGTGGATATGTGGGCTTTTTACAAGCGAAAAGAAGTCCGCGCTTTGGGTAACAACACCACTAACCGTGTGGAGGCTCTAAATCGCGCGATTAAATTGGTCTTAAGGTGGGTGAACTGTAACAAAGGCATGATTTAAAGATCGTTATTTGCAAGTAACGATTGTGTGACAATTATGTCAGTTTTCATCGACTTGCGTGCCCGAGTGCGCTATCCACGGTGACTAAAACAGTTAACCGTCTACGAGTTCACAACGGCAAGGCAGCCGGCTCGTCATGACGAACTGAATGTGCTGCTGATTTATATGTATAAGTTCACACCCCATCCCACTCGTGGTATCCGTTCGTAAACCACCGCCACTAAAATGATTAAATGCACATGTATTTGCACGGTGGAATTGCTGACAAATGCCCCTCTCTCTCCACGGTCGCCAAATTTACTCACAAATACACGGTTTCCGCCACCTCTGACATCATCTATGGGCCATTTCGTACCACCCTACAAACCGGGCCTTTTTTGGTCACCGTGTTCTATCTACTCTGACATATGGAACGTGTACTCATGTCTGTATAATGCATTCAGTGTATTCTCTCCGTTATTTCGCTTGTGCAAGCGCTATGACTATAGCCGTTCGCAGTGTATTACCGCGTTCCATCGTCATGCCGGCTCAACCAAAGCCGGCTTTGCCGCGGCTCAAACGGCTTCGGCTGAGCCGTTACCATCTCTATGTTAGAGTACCTTATGACAACCGACATGATCTCTTTACAGATCTGTACAGAGAACTAATATGAAGACCTGCGAAGCTATTTCAACACTTGTCCGTTTCCTGGTAATGGCTGATGCGTCGTCGTTGCACTCCGACTTTAAAAACGTTACCAAGATAACATACGTCAATTGTGCGGAATTCGGTGCAGAACTGGAGCGTGCCGGAAAACTCTTGACGGAAAGCGCTGTTCGCCTTCTTCACATTCAAATTAAAAAATTGAGGAGCGAAATAAATCATTATAACCTCCAAGAAGTCGATGAGGCAAACTGGACTCTTGCCAATACTCTTACGGATACGGTGTACATCATCCAGAGAGAACCTCAAGAGCAAGGCAGCGTCAGCGTTCAAAAGAGCGAAAGCCGACTAGTGTGCTCATGTTTTTTCAGCTGTACCTTTGGCTTGCCATGCAAACACGTCATGTACATCAGGGAAAAGACGTGTAACGCGTACATTCAGATCACGGACGCGATTGGTCGGTGGCACCGTTCATTCTCTGGAGTTGATCCAGACTTTCTGCGCTCAGCAATCATAACTCATGCGGCATCTCATCTTGAGGATGACGACCTCGAAAACTTCGTGGATAGTGAAGTGGGTATTAAATCTCCGCTACCACGCGAAGCCCGATTTAGCAAGGCGCTCAGTGTCGCGAAAGAAATCAGTTCCGGTATCGCAGTTTATGCGGGGAAGCGCTACGATGAATATCTGCACTTATTGCATATCCTGGAGAAAGCTATTAAAGATGGTGTTTTGGGTGAAAACATTACGATAACGGTAGCTACCTCACCATGCCAGCAGTCTCTCACCAATTTTGCGTCGACGGTTTTACCAGAAGAGGAAACTGCCAGCCGTAAAGTTGATATGGTTGTGAATCTAGCCGCTGATACGGTTACAGAAAATGCAATTCCGACACTAACTTTTGTGGAAACAAGCGGTGAGGCTGACCACGGATTCGGCCAAGGTAATAATAACAGATCGAAGTTTCGTTAAACAAGGCTAATTCCGATCGAGAACAGCATGTTAGAAGCTCATAAGCTCATACTGGTAAGGTCGGTGCAAAGTAATGTATGTAATAATTATAAATTTAGCAGAAACGGGTGATGTGTTACGCCGTTCTTTAATAACTGCCTCGATAACTTTAAAGATGGCCGTTGGTGGCTCTGCGCTGACTTGGTTTTCTACTGTTTAGTGGGAAGATAGCTAGACAAAATTGTCGATCGCTTGCACAACTACTAACTGCTTTAATATTTTAAGTTAAGCAGAGCTCTCGACTGGTTTTGCTTGTTCAGTAACGCGGCTAAGAGGGAGATCCCCACTAATCGCGTTCTCTGAGAAGTTAGAACATTTTACTGTTGTAGCCAAAGTATGACCAAATACCATTACCAGGAGTTGTGGTAAATTGTCTAGCCTAGCATATCTGATATTTTTCAATGGGTAGGAAGACGTGGAAATGCAGTCTGGCCGGTTACTCGTTAAGCAACCACTTAGTGAGTCCATGTACAGTTATCGCAGATATCGCTCGCTCTAAGAACGCGCATCAAATGCTTTTCGAATTACTGTAAAGTGTAGTTACGCTAGCGCGGTTACTTAACGAGGTCGCTTCAAAACGTGAAATGTTAGAGGTTTATTTCAACTGCGCCAGATTCGGGCTTCAATTCTCCACGTTCATAATCTTGAATTAAAATCAGGGCGCGGTTGTGTTTGCCCGGCACCAGCTGGCTCCCATACAGAAGGTCACCAGACAAAACGTTTCTACTAATTATTGAACACTCATGACTTTTAATACAGTGCCATCGAACTAAGACGGTTAAATAAGCGGTTTAAAGCGTTTATAATTTAACAGTCACAGCTGTTGCACTTAGCGTACCTTGCATATATTGTAGAGGCGACAACAAACAACACCAGCGAGGTGAAGACAGTGGCCAGCGAAGGTATCCTGGATCCGTTTGAAGCGATTCCTTTCAAACTCGTGGGCATGGCAATGAACCCTCCGGGAAGACCTAAAGGAGGAAAAAGAAAAGTGAAGTTCAATACTCCTGGGAAAAAGACAAAAAAGACGCGCTACGAAACGGCGGTTTTGGTAATAAAAAGCTGATTAGTAGGAACCGACAGGGCGGCGCAGATAAGTAAGGGAAATAATGAATTATCTGTTTACAGATCAGCGAAGATTTAGCACTGCCTTTCACCTCCGGCATCGGTGGCAATTTAGCGAAATCGGATCTTGGAGAACGTATGCCAGTCGGTACAAGTAATTCAGACGAGGTTCAGGATGTCGATTTCACGAAAGATCAAATAGAATCCAACGCTCTGGAAGCCATAAAGCAACTGGCCAATTATTTTTCCACGAACGCGGTTCAGCGGGTAATAGCTATAGCGAAAGACCACCCAACAACCAGGCAGAGCAGGGGGATGCTAAGGATAGAAGATCTGCGGAGGGACATCATTTATCCTACAGATGGTCACGGTTGGAGAATGTTTTTCCGAACGTTGATAAACCTAGGGGCCATAGCTCATGGTATGATGGAGTGGACAGTCGTACAGCTATGGTATCAACAGGCAGCCCCCTTTGGTGTCGAGATTGGCGGTAAGCGTGAAAAAAATAGGTTGTTGTCGTGACAGCGTGACAAAAAAAGCCGAGGCTGTTTCTTGGCGGCCGAAGCATACCAAACGTCTCTATGTTCAGCGCTTATAAACCTTTGTGTCTATCGGTCACCGCCACCTAACGCCCATATGCCCGGCCTTCTTACTATTGTATGCACACATGTGCCCTGGCCGTATATACTAACTATGGTGTCCACTGTCTACTGGACAGCGTCTCTCTTTATAAAGTGGTAATAAGCGCGGTAGCCATATACAAATGTTGTGCTGCCTACTGACGTTTCAAAGAAGTACCTTTTTCTGTGGTAGTTCTAGGTCAGCAGTTTCCATTCCTAATAATTTTTAAAGCACACGTAAAACGGCTGTGTTGTCACCGCCACCGCTACCCTATGTGAAAGGATGAAAGGGCGGTGTCCACTTATACTCGCCGCTTCAAGCAACAGTCGGTTTTTTTGGTTACCGATACGGCGGTATTCTCCTGTCATTGCGCTATTTGTTGCTGAAATGATTCTGAGTACTGGCACCGCTCATGATGTTACAGTAATGGTCAGAGAGCATGCCACGAAAGAAAACTTAACGTTACCCGATTCGTGAAAAATGAAATTTGGAAACTGGATTAACGGTTGGCCAGCAACTCGTGTTTAACCGGTGGAGCCATGCAGGAAAGCGGCCAGCAGTTACCAAGATACTGGAAAACAATTGTTCGTAATGAGGTTTTCGCAGCGAAATACAGTATATTAGAACATGCAACATAAACAGCTGCATCGTCAATGATGCAGTTGTTGTTACTCGTACTCATTCCCCTATCGGGCTGTGTGTCCAGAAAATTAGTGGTAATTTCATCTGACTTTTGTTTAGCCAGCTTTGTGACAGTTCGTTTCTCTAGCGGGCTCTGTGCACAAATACGTTCAATTGGCAGTTCGACCATTTACAGATTGTTTGTTGCTTGCGTATCGAGTGTCAGATATTGTATTGTTTTAACAGACTCATCTCTAACCAGAAACTGCAACTGGATAGCTTGCCAAGAAGTTAATTTAGGCTTGTGGCACTGGGCAGAAATCTTGGAAAAAGCTGGAGGTGGGTGGCTTGGCGAAACAACCATTACCGCCGCACTCAGGATTATGCATCATGAAAATCCACATGTTGGCGGATTTATTGACGTCGGTTATTTCAACACGTTCGAGCTTGAATCCAGCCCGCAACTGACCGCAGCTCAGATGGAGAGAGCGCGAGAAATCATAAAGGTCTGGAGAGAAAACGCTATGTTGCACTGGTTTGATCCCGATAAGTCAGATTCGAAGAAGATCCAAGTTCTTAACCGTGGCGGCAACCATTGGGTCACGCTTACTAACGTCCACAACGGACCCGAAAATTACGTTAATATCTTCGACAGTCTCATGATGTCTGTCACGACGTTTATGAAACAGGCCATTGCTTCGATCCTTCATCTTCCTCCCGCATTTGAAGATATCCGGTTGTACACGCCGATGGTGCAACGACAACGAAACGGTAAAGACTGCGGAGTATATTCGATAGCTTACGGCGACCTCCTATGCAGAGGCCAAGATCCGACATATATGACGTTCGACTTGCAGAAGGTAAGCTCTCAAACATGATGGTAGTATTGGCTTCCTGATCTGTGCGTTGTGTAAAGTCCAGAAAGGTTTCAACGTGTTTCAAAATCGGTTTTAGAGTAGCCGCTACACCACGCAATCGTTACGTACAATGGGCAAATGCAAAACTGAGTAGACGTCGGGCTAGAAGAGTTGCACAATTGGTTTTAACCGCTATATGTATTGGCCAGCGTTCACGCAGCTGTTCTGCGCATCGTACATCATTAATTTTTCTTCCGACATCACAGCAAACTATTTATTGCGTTTAGGTTTTGCACACGCAAAATAGAAAGTAAAGATGAGAAAAATATGCACGACACAATCCGGCAGGGAATCGGAATACCGTCTCGCTGCTCTATATGACCTTAGCAGTCTTCCGCAGACGCTATGAGCGGAGACAGTTTTAAAACAGCATATGTACTCGCATGTTGTGATGGGCACGCTGGTCGTCAATAAGTAATCTCATTACCGCTAGTTGGTTTTAAGCTGATTTGGTGCTTGTTCGTTGTTAATTGCTTTTCTAAAACTCAACGAGCCTCTCACATTTTTCATTTATATTTCTGCAATCGAACGACGTCTCAGACAAGTCTACTACATAAAATTTTTAAAATTCTAAATATCATACTGCGCTCAATAAATTTGTTTTTACTATTTCCATGCCATTGACACCAACGGTAGATATCACAGAAAGCACGCTTCGTCTGTTTAAGTAAACGCACCGTCCTACGGATACAAGGCTCGTGTAAGGTCAATACTTGTGATATGCAGTGGCACTACCGTTTGCGCAAAACGATGGCTACTTATATGTTTATCTTGCTGTCAATCTTACCTTGGAAAGGCAAAGATGGTCAAATGAACCATCTCGGCGTTAACCAAATAACAGCAACTTTAGCTGCGTTATGTGATACTGTTGCAGGATAGTGAGCAGCCGTTTGAGAAATGCCGAAATTATCTCGTTGAGCGGCTTGAAGCAGGATCGTTCAGCCAAGGTACCGGATTCCCGTCTGCTGCCGATCGTTCCTACAGCTGCACAATTCGTCCAAGCTGGGAAAAAGCCAAGATGGTCAAGATATATTGCTATTGTCGTATGCCGAAGATGCCAACCGAATTTTTGGATGCCTTCCACACTGAACCAATGATCAAGTGCGCAAACAAGATGTGTGTAATCAAGCTCTTTCATCGTACTTGCGTAGAAAAACAAATGGATCCGCGACCATTGGATAAAAACTGGCTTTGCAACTTTTGCAAAAGCGACGAAAGCCTGACAGTTTCCGATTTGGTCGAAAACTTGGATTTCGAGGAGATTGCCGAGCCGTAATCCGAGTGGTACGGAAAAGGTAGTTTGTTCAGTGGTTTTTTCTTTGGTTCGTGTCGTCCAAGGCTGTTACAGAATTTTTGTAACACTTTGTTGTGTTTCACTTTTTTTGGCTATCGAAATGTCCAGATGTGTATCCGGGATCTGTTTCGTTTCTTTTGTATGAAGCTTTTTTTATTGGCATGTTCTTCTATGACAGCGTCATCACTACATCCACATTGAAAGTAGTCCATTGCGTAGATGCTGGACGCCTGACGTGGTTGCATTTCGTCCCAGAATTACTGCTATACATAGCATTAAAGGAAGCAGCAGCAGTTATCGCGTTCGAGTTTTCTTAATCGTGATTAAAGATATGTTACCGAATTTTTCTCATAAAATTGACCTTTCATCACTAACGCCATCCATTCAGAAAGGTTTATCCTTGCTGCCAGATAATCAGAACAACCAACAATTCGCTACTAGTCTTTGGTAGTCACTCACCCACAAGAGGCTGAGGTGAAAATGGATTGAGGTGGAACTATCACCGTGGTAGTACGGCTAATCACTCAGCTGAGGTTCTGTGCAACAGAAAGGTCACTGATTTCCTAGCAGCTGCGTTTGCTGAGCAGTGGCAGCAGCTCGGTCAAGAACTTTCTTTAACAGTTTTATTTGCTAGGCAAAACTGATGACTCGGACACTCAATTCCTTACGGGATCTGTGCACTGGACAATAGAGAATGCTAGTCACTCATTCACCTAACGGGCTCTGCATTAGATAGTTGGTAGATTTGGTTACTCAGTTGCCTAACGACCTCGGTATACTGGGCAGTAGTTGTGCAGTTACTCACTAGCCTAATCCACTCTTTGTACTTAATAGTGTTGTCAAGTCGGTTGCTCATTTACCTAACGGAGTACATGAATTGTATTACATAAAATCTGTAATTCTGTCATTCTTTCATTGGACGGAGGTGTTAGTTCGGATGTTCGGGCATTCTCGCACGTACCGGGCTTTTTCGCTGCACGGTAGTGGTAGTTCGGTATTTGCTCACGTGCAGTACTTCTGCTCGATGGCAACCCAGGCAGCGGTAAACATACGGGCAATTTCTTATATGAGGGGATGTCGGTAGTGTATGTACCATTAATAATGTAATGTACTAAATAATCCCTGTACTTTCTGCTGCTGCTGCTTTCTGCGGCGCGGTACATAAGCACCATGCACAGCCACGCCAAAGTCGGGCCGGCTGACGTCAGCAAGTGCAGGGATTACTTAGGTACTGAAATCCCTACATTTACTTGAGCAATTACAATATTATATAATACTGTGGGATTGCTGCGCAGTGTATTGGATTTTTATATACAGAGTGTATATTCCGTACAACGTATTTACAATGTATTAGTATGCAGAACGTATACTAAAAACCCAATACACTGCGCAGAAACCCCCTATGCTGGACTTTAGTGAACAGTTGTGACTTGTAATGTACAGACCATGAAGAAAGAAAGGACCTAAACTTTCGTAAACCTTTTTTTAGTTGGTTTACATGGCAACATTGTTTGGTTAAAAAGCTATGACGATTTACGAAGTGGCTATGCGCAGGAGTATCGTACTGCGGTGCTGTTCTGCGCATGGTACGTTACATAGCAACCTTTAATACCGTACAACAGTAAAGTAAAGTGCAACCGTACCGTACTTGCATGACAACGGGTGCGACCAACATGTTTTCCATCGCTATTACAAGCAAAAGCCGGGAACGGCACAGCCGGGAACGGCACAGCCGGGAACAACACAGCCGGGAACGGCACAGCCGGGAACGGCACAGCCAGGAACAACAGCCGGAACAACACAGCCAGGAACAACGCACAGCCGGGAACGGCACAGCCGGGAACAGCACAGCCAGAACAACTGGCCAGGAACAACACAATAAGGAACGGCACATCAGAACAACACAACAACTGTCAGACAACACCGGGAACAAACACCGGAACAACGCACAACGGGGCACACCGGAACGGCACAGCCAGGGAACAACTGCCGGGAACAACGGCAGGAAGGCAACAGCCAGGAACAACACAATGGGGAACGGCACAGCCGAACAACTGTCAGGGACAACACAATAGGAACAGCACAGCCGGGAACAACTGTCAGGAACAACACAATAGGAACAACTGTCCAGGAACAACACAATGGACAACAGCCAGCCGGCACAACCGGAACAACACAACCGGGAACAACACAGCCGGAACGGCACAACCGGGAACAACACAGCCGGAACAACACAACCGGGAACAGCACAGCCGGGAACAGCACAATAGGAACGGCACAGCCGGGAACAGCACAGCCGGGAACAGCACAACCGCGGCACAGCCGGGAACGGCACAGCCGGAACGGCACAGCCGGGAACAACACAGCCGGGAACGGCACAGCCGGGAACGGCACAGCCGGGAACGGCACAGCCGGGAACGGCACAATTTATTCGAATAGAGTGTTTGACAAATTAGCTAACGGCTATACTGCGGACTATACTGGGGCAAAATAGCTGAAGGCTATTTTAGCGCAGTGTGGGGCAAAATAGCAAAAGGCTATTTTGCCCCACATACTGGGGCAAAATAGCCAAAAGCTATTTTGCCACAAACACTGGGGTAAAATAGCCACTTCGGAACTATCGACGTTTTCAATCAATCCGCACCAGACTGAACTAATCACAGATTGGCAAAATCCTCCCATTCCGTACTCTGCCGGCAGCTAATGGTAAATTCTTGTACCCTGAAAATTAACGTAGGAAACACTACGTTTCCTACTTATTTGCATCTCTAATGCTAGACCACAGTGTGATCCAGATACAGAGACCTAAACGGAATAGATCCTGCGTAGCGAGCAATGCTGTAAGTACAGAGGGTGAGCCACCCACATTGGCACACTGCACGAACTCATTTTTTAAAACTTCCTTTCGTCTACAACAACTTTTTCAAAAACATTACCCGATAGCCTGGGTATTTTGTACTTGATAAATTAATCTGAGCTTAGTAAAGGATGCCTTTCAAAATCCAGGAAGAAAAACCTGGAGCGGGGTAGTAAAACAGTGCACTTCAAAACTGGAATGCCTTTCGCAAAACAAATCCTAAAAATCCCCCTTTACCGATCAGTACATACGAAATGCATTAAAGTGTTAAAGAATCAATGCTCTTTAAGACAAGTGTAATTCGGTTTTGATCAAAGCCACGGTTGAGTTTTTCTAGGCGTCGGCTCCCAAAACTGACCGGAAGTCCAGAAAACATCTGCCATTCTCTAACAAATAGTCCATTCGTCCTGAATTTCATAGAATATCTTCTACAAGCCTGTCTAAATAAATATTTGTTTATATCAAAGCGAAATCGGCATCGGCGGTTTTTTTGTCACGAGTTTCCCACTGCAAAGGCCAGCCGCTTCATTGAAAGTGTAAATCCCCAATTTTTTAATACTTCTGTTTTTCCCTCAGGATCCTGAAAAGGTTTTCACACAACATTATACTTTTTCATATAGCCCTTAAAATCTTCTAAAATTAGGAACTGAATGTGACCAAAAAAATGCTTGCTTCATTTAATAATCATTTAAAAACAAAAATACAAAGTGAAACGTTTTGTCTGCGTTTTTTTCGCCGGTCGCGGACACTTGTGGTCACTTTATGCCACGTGTGCGCAAAATCTTCATGGAAAATTAGTTGTTTTCCGTTCACAGAGAGCTAAGGGAAAAAACTGCATCAGCGGATTTAGCAGGACTTGAGTCCAAAAGTCACAAATAATTTCCTACCAAAAGTGTGCCAATGCGGGCGGCTCACCCTCTGTATTGCGAGCAATGCAATAACACACGACGCTCACACAGCTAATTGCCAACTTTAATAATATTGAAATTTCCGATAACAGAAAATCAACACTGATCGATGCAGCTCGATCATCGATCGGAGAGCCAAATCAACACTGCTCAGCACGTGCGCCATGCCGCGCCCACTAACAAAACACAAGCCAATCAGAAGCGAGACACAACACAGACACGTAATCCGATGGCGCAGCGCCTGGCGCCACAGGCGTGAACGCTAGTGATCCCTCGCCTCACACATCTTTATATTGAAATAGAATAAATTAATATACGTGTTCCCTAACTGGACGACATAATAATCCCTTCGTGCTTCAGTGTCTCCTTAACTCAAATAAATAGAGATTACTCCATACCGGCATTGTGCCTGCGCAGATGATACGTCTTTTTGAAATTTCTTCTTTTTGGTTTTCCTAATATACTTGTATGTGAATCTGTTCCTGTCCATCTGTTATAGGGAAGCATTCGTCAGGTAGAAATCTCGAACCCAAGCCGGGGATACCGATAAATCTTAACCGAATGAACTGGAAATCGCTGATAGTTTCCGCATTACTAACATGAAAGAATTTTTAGTAAGTACAGCGAATAGAGATGACTGGTTGTACAGCAGCCGTGCATGCAGCCAATAGCAGCCACCTTTTAATCCCAGAGCCTAAAATCTTCAAAATCTATGTGAGCACACTTAATTTCGCAAAGAGGGGGGTATTGATTATTTGCTCTTTATTTTCATATTGGCTGAAATTGTCATCACTCAGGAGATTGTACACGTTGGCAAATTTACAGAAAATTTTATAGGAATGCCTACCCAGTAAAACTGGCATTTAATACAAAAAACACGAGTTGTGAGATAGTTGGAGTTGTTAGTTTTTTTGTGCAAGAGTTCTGTAAGTACGACAGCGGATGTGTTTTTCTTTTTTCGCTTATCCCTTGAGTCCGAATCGAGGCCTCGCGCGAAGCGCGAAGCCGACGTTGCTTTTTGAACAGGAATTACAAGAAAATCAATAAAATTAAGTTATTTATTCCGAACTATTTCGGGTTTGTCAAATTTGTTCAACACTCGTCTATGAAACTAGCGAAGCGTTTTGTGTTGCGATTCGTTTTGCCCCGAACTCTTAACATGGCAGGGGCTGCATTGATGACCTTACGGCTGACATTCAGCAACGGTGTAAGTTTTGGACCGGGCGAACTGGTCTTTGATAAAGATGAAGTAAACTAAGATAACCACGAGCTGAATCGCTAAGATACTCTAATGGTTGACTAAGATCACAAGTGCTACAAGTAGAGACTGTAAAAATATCGACCAGTAGAGAGATATATGCGCCAACACCCACCACGTTTAAACGTTTTCAGTTACTGGGAGATTGGCCAGTAGACATTGGGAAAGTTTTTAAGTAACCACACTTCCACAATTTCTGGCGCTACATAACTCAAATGCACAATAGCGCATTGCAGCATTTGTTGAACTTAATAATAATGCTGTTTCGCAGGGTAAATCCAAAAGCGGAAATGAGAAAAAAGTATTATAAATGTGGCTATTGTTTCCATTACGCAGATGGCATTCCCTATTTAACTCTATCGGTAAATGGACAATTGTTGCTGGTACAGCTACTAGAATACCGCATGTCTAGCCGAAAGGGGCGTTCTATCAAATGACCACCAGATCATCCCGTGAAAGTTGAAGCACACAATGCTTGTACATCAAATGACACAATCAAAGCAAGCAAATACCGTACGTGGCTTGTGTAAATCTTTAATTTTCCACCTGATTCTGCCAACTGGAGGTCAAATATAAGAACGCAGCTGTTTCTCTGAGTTCGCTGATTAAAGATTTATTTTTCAGTATTATACGACCCTATGCACTCTACTAACTGCGCACGAAAGTCATTTATACAAATGCTATTTGTATAAACAGCGCGCGTAGCACTATTGAGCATGTAAGCTGTGCATCGTCAGAAGTGTGGTTACTAAGTATAAAACATGCCGTCTGCCACATCTCCCAGTGGAAGGTAACGTGACACGCATTGGCTTATAGCTTTCACTTGTTTGTTCGTGAAATCTTTTGCACTCTTAAAACAATTAGAAGCCGGTTAATTACACAGAAGGGGGACTATTGCTAATTTTTAAGCACAAGTTGCGATCTAGGTGAGCACATGCACCTTTATGTGAGCACATTTTGTGCTATGTGAGCACAAGTTTTTAGGCCCTGTTTAATCCGGTTGCGCAACCGGCTATACGGTATGTCAAAGAGGGCTATACGGTATGTCATGTCTTGCGTGTACAGAGATATGCCAGTGCACCACATCATGATTGCGCAATAAAATTCGTGACGGTGAAGATTTGACGCTGGCCCATAGACACATATGCTATAACTCAAATTTTCAAAAATTCATAACTTTGTTAATTTTCGCGTTAATGTTTTTTGAATATGCTTTAAAAATACAGAATAATATATACTAGTAGGCATAACAAATGTTTTTTCGATTTTATTTTAGGGTTGCGCACTATGTGCCTACGTAATTAGCATGGCTGTCTATGGAGAAGTCATTTAATTTGATTTAAAGATTTCTCGTAGGCGGCTATGTTAACCACGTATGCTCTCAGTGCCAAACCTTAAGACGGAAACAGAAAAAAAATCGTTTTGCCTAATAGTAGATATTATTCTATATTTTTAAAGCATACTCACAACGAAATTAACGTTAAATTTAATTAAGCATATGTATCCAGCGTCAAAATCAATATTGCATCATGACACTATCTCTACACGTCTTGCTTGTTCTCCGGTAGACTTGTACTGCGTACGAACACGTACTGTACCGCTTTTCCGCGAATCCTCAATGGATAGTACAGCAATTACCATTCTTTTATAACAGGGTACGCACATTCTGTGAATACAAACTACCCTAGTGCGGATAGATGCCTTTATGTTGGTGGTTGAGCTAACTCAGCCACGTTTCCAGTTGCGAACTACCCAGTCTTCTGACTACTTTACGTTTTAAGTTTCACGCTCCGATCTACATTAATTTACCTAACCTCATCGTAACCGTGTGCATTGTAGAAGACTGATTTGCCAACATATTCCCTGATTTCTCCACCATGGCCAAGCCTCGTGCGCGCCCCAAGAAGTCAAAGCCCGCGCGTCAGCAACAGCAGAAGCCAACGACTATGCAGCTGCGAATTGGTAACGCGACATTATCCGTCAACAAAGATGCTCTTATCCGGGGATCCCCGTACTTCGCCGCCATGTTGGACGGGAATTTCCAGGAGAGCGGCGCCGCCAGTATCGAGCTGCAACAACCCGAGAACGTCCATCTTCAAACGCTGGTCAAACTGGTGGAACACCTGAGTCGTGGAGACTCAAAGCCCACGTTGTCGGTTGAACGCAAGGACGCCGTCAAAGTGTGGATGGCCGCCAAATACCTGCAAATGGATGAAGCGGTGGAAATGGCCGAGGATATCCTGCGCGAGATAATGGAGCGATCAGGGAACCTGTACCGCCTGTGGCGTCTGGCTCGTCGGGACGGACTGATGGATTTGGAGAGAATGACCTTTAGGGAGATTGTTCAGCACCATCCACGCCGCACCTTTTTTACCGATTCCGATGAGTTTCTTAAGTGCAGTGCCGAAGAGATCAAGGACTTGCTGACCGATGAGGAGTTTGTGCCAGAATCAGAAGCAGCTGTGTATCAGGTTAGCGTGCTTTATGGAGCAGAATTAACTTAGATGCCAAATTTGTAAGTAACAATTTTCGTTTATATAAATATTATTAAATACGTTTTGATAAATGATCAAGATTTAAAAAGAATATGCCTAATTATGAGTCAGAATAACAAATTTCGATATATTCAACTCACCTTAAACTACTGTATGTGTGTAAGCGTGGCGATTACGATGCACAGAAGTGCGAAGGAAATGCGACCGCGCTACCAAACAAACTTTATTAAAAATGACGATTTTTAATAAAGGCAAGGTGCCCAACAAAATCTACACCATCCGCAGGATGGGAATCTGCCCAGAAGGGAAACAGAGAGGAAAACACTGTCGACTAGTCAGGATATTCCTGGCTAGGAGAAGGCAAAATCACGGAATGAGACTGTGTATTTTAATACACAGTCGAATATCGGAAAAAACAGACCGGAGAGACGGTGCGGCATCCACGCAGCCCCACTATCCTGGGCGGTGGCACCGGCCTCCTAGCATGTCTGTAATTTTCTAATATTGTATTGGATTATCTGAATGGAGGAAAGTATCGTTTCAGTTAAAACTGCTAAACTGCATAGTGTATACTCGTTCCACATTCGCAGGCTGTGTTGCGTTGGTGCATGCGCGACCCCAAGGGGCGCAAACAGCACCAGCATCAGCTGCTGGATGAGTGCTTAGTCTGGGATCATCTGGACATGGAGTCTCTGAAAGCCTCCTCCTCGGGGCCTTTGAATAAAGCGTTGACCCAGATTCTCGACGATCGACGCCACGGTCTGATGGGCGGTGGACCGTCGCTGAAGCGGGCCATTCCGACAGAAGTCATCTTCTGCCACATGCGCCAAGGACATCCGCATCAGCTCCTTCGCTTCGACTTCATCCGCAACGAACTGACCAAAATGGATTCACCGCTGCAGGCGACACTGGCCGAATGCGGGTCCAAGCTCAAAGCGGACGGTTTTGCGGTGGCCGTGGGACGTGAGCTGATCGTCGCTACTGGAGATTCATGTGAGAAACAGGTGATCGCGATGGACTGTATCACCGGCAGCACACGTCCTGTCGTGGTGAATTCGCCGTTTCTTGCGACCTTGTGCGTGGCGGCGGTGGGAGACCGGCTTTACCGTGCTTGTAGAGCTAGTGGAGACGGCGAAAATTGGTACTGCCACGATATGCCCACTGGAAAAGTGCGTCGGGTCGGACAGATCCCGTTTTACACGTACGAGAAACATGGATTTGCCTTACGGTATAATCGGTGAGTTTGTTCCTCAATCTTGGTGCCTTCTTTCCATTTCGATATTTGTTAAGCAAAACTACAATGGACTTCAAAATTTTGTTACACTCACAAAACGCGCGCAACCAGCTGTTTATCTGTACTCAATCAGCCAAATTCCGGGCTGGCCATCGGCCTGTTGAGTTCGAACACTTGCACCTCACGCATTTCCCAACAAAAACCATCCACCGATATCTCAAACGAAAGAGAAAAAAATTTTATGAATTTTGATACCAAACAAGTTAGCTTTTATGGGATCTGACAGAAAATCGACGCATCTAAAGTTTCTCGTAGACAAAGCATAGCATTTGAATCCACGGTTTGGTTTCAGTTTTCACACAGAAAACGTATGCTCTGTCTACGAGAAACTTTAGATGCGTCGGTTTCTGTCCCATCCTGTTTCGTATCAAAATTCATGAAATTTTTCTCTTTCGTTGAGATATCGATGGTGTTGGAAAATGCGCAAACAGCAAGTGTTCAAATACTGCGCGTTTCCAGTTTATTGGTCATTTGGTCTTGGCCATTTATTTCTATTGGTCATTCGGTCCCGGACCGAATGTAACAAAATTTTGAAGTCCATTGTAATTTGTAAGTTATTAAATTACCGATAACCGGATATTTAGTGGAGTGTTTTTGCTATCTCAGTTTGCTTTGAGCAAAATAATATTATGTACAGATGGAAAATTAATACAAGTCATTTTATGACCGCTTATTGTGGATCGGCCAATTTACCTTTGCCGTTTCAGTCTATCTTTTTCGAGTTTACCTTTACCACCGCCAAATTGTGCCTGCTGCCGTAATCGGTGTCGCATTCTTTGTGCACGAAATAAGAATTGTACTGTTCTAATTATTTCGTAATCGCATCTTATTTGACATATTTTTCGTAGTGATGCTATGCAGGCCTTCGCGCTCCCCAACGGCCGAATCTGGTTCCTGTCGGTCGGATCCGTGGACGAGAAGCACGATAACCACCCGCAGAGTTGCGTGGAATCCTACGACATCCACAGCAACACGTGGAAGAACCATGCCAGCTGGACAGATAAAGACATATTCCATCATGACAGCGGGATCGTCGTCTTCCAAGGCTACTTGTACTTCACGGGCGGCTGCGTGTTCGACGATCCCTTGGAGTACCTAGACAGCGATCCCAACGTGACCACTGCTTGCTACCGCATCTCGTTGGCCCACGGGTATTGGCCAGAGCGTATTGCGGATCTGAACGTGGCACGCTATCGTCACTGCGTCTTCATCAAGGACGGGAAGATCTGGGTGTACGGTGGGACCACCCACGTCGACGGGGATAATCAGCGGAACCGGGCGCTGACGTCCTTTGAAGCGTACGATGCCGAGACTAACCAGTGGACCGTGATGGATATACCAATGTCCAAGGAACTACAGGAAGAAGTGGCGGGAGGGGATTACGCACAGAAGACCTTCTGTCTGCCGCTGCAACACCGTCTTCCATCGGTGTGCGATGGGAAGGAATTTAGCGCTCGTGACGACAATTATGAGTACGTGCTGAGGGAAAATCGTCACATCGCAGCGGCATATGGAATGGGAGACGATTCGGAGAACGACAGTGATAGCGAGTGGCCCGCTGGTTTGGATGACTGATCATGTACGGCGTGCCTGTAAATGCTGGGTTTTGCGATGCTGGGAATGCTTTTCGCCTTTTGCTCTGCTTTAGGGCGTAATTTATTTGTATCTGCTAGTGAAGTTTTTGCGTGCCTGTTTATGTGAATACCTGCAACTGACGCGAGTCATTTTTTCTATATTTAAACTATTTTTGTAGCTTTGCATGAAGTGTTAAGTATCTGCGAACTGTACGTTTTAATTCATGATTCACTAATTTAAACATTGTACCGTACTGTTTTCCTGTACAATAAACTAATTCCAATTTGATTATCGCACCACATGGTACTGAATCTGATGCACTTTTCGACTGGGTCTTTTAAGCGAAAGCAAAGCCAAGCAAACAAACGCTGACTGTTTTCTGGCTGCGAAAGCAAACGGACAAATTCCGAAATACCGTTCATATACAGGGGAGGGGTCTGTAAGTGTAGCCCCTGCACCGGTTGGCAGAAACACCAAGGCCGCCATGCCGCAGTGATTCATGGTTTTTCTTAGTCCATGGCCGACCAGTAGCAATGTTCGTTATCCGAGCTGGCTGTGTCCAGCGTCTATGGGCATTGTCCATGCAATGACTCAGTAACTTACTCAGCGTTTGCTGCTGCTGCCTGCACTTTCTTCACTCGACCAGGAACGGCCAATGGACAGACCTATCAGTGATAAGTTATCACTTGCCGGTTCAACGCATCCATTTCTATGTGCGTCAGATTTTGTTGCCAGCCTTCAGACTACGTATATATTACTGCAGCAATTTGCTACCGGTTTTCATTTCCACAACCTTGACTTTGGTATATACCGTTTTTTTTCCATTCTGCCACTATGGATGCAAATTGTGCGAAGAAATTGAAAACAACGCATCATGATCAGCAGCAGCAGGACCCAATGATCATTCAGCTGCGAATCGGCCTTGCTATACTGTCCGTGAATCGAGACGCCCTCATCCAGGGATCGCCGTACTTTGCCGCAATGGGCGGGAATTTTCAGGAAAGCAACTCGCCCATTATCGAGTTGCATCAACCGGACAACATCAATCTGGAAACGCTGGTGAAACAGGTAGGATACTTGAGCAGTGGAGACTCCCGATAACCGTTGAGCGCAAAGACGCCGTAAGAGTGTGGATGGCCGCTAAATACCTGCAGATTGAGAATGTCGTGGAAACGGCCGAAAAAATCCTGCGCAAGATAATGCAGTGACCGAAGAATGTGCTGCGTCTGTTGCGAGTGGCTCATCGGGACAGACTCGTGGATTTGAAAAGACTGGTCATTGCGGAGATTCAGCGCACGCCGCTTAAAAGTTCCGCGGTATTGCTTCAGTGCAGTGTGGAAGAGGTCCAGTACGTGTTGAACGATGAGGAGTACGCTTCGACGTCCGAGGCCACTGTTCATGAGGTTGGTGTGTTTCCCAGAACTGATTGCCATTTCGTCTTTTATTTTTTTCTTGTTGTATATTTTTATTATATACTTTTACTATACGTTCTTATTATATATTCCTATTATATGTTCTTACTATATATTCTTATTATTATTCCGTATTATTATATTATTATTATATTAGAATAATATTTCCAATTTTTGCCGCGCTTACAGTGAGTAAAGTATTTATTCGTAACTTCCAAAAGTCCAATCGGAGCAATGCGTAGAGTAATAAAAATGTTGTTTATTAGTGCCTCTCCATGAATGCAGATATATTGCGCTGGCACATGCACGATGCCAGCGAAAGTCTGCATCGTCTGCTGGGTGGATGCATCGCGTGGGATCACTTGAACATCGACTCACTAATCACCAGTTCACCACCGCTACAGCCTAAAGGTCCAGTGCATGCAGCGCTAACCCGAATATCGTGACGAGCGAAACCGTGGTCTACTGGTTAAGGGAGCGTTGCTGAATCGCGTCATGCCGAACGAGGCCATCTTCTGCCACATTCGCGACGGACATCCGCACCAGCTCATCCGTTTCGACTTCACCCGCAACGAACTGACCAATTGGATTCACCAGTCCAGGCGACACTGGCTAAATGTTGTTCCACGATCTTAGCCGACGCTGTTGCGGTGGCCGTCGGGCGGGAACTGATTGTCGATCCTGTCGTTAAGTTCGGTAAGATGGAAGTAATCGCGATGGACGGCATTACGGGGATTGTGCGCGATCTCATCGTGAACCCGCCGTTTAGCGGATACCTGTGTGCGGTGGCCGTTTGAAACCAGTTCTTTCGTGCTTCAAAGCAAAGATTGGTAATGGCAAAGTGTGGTACTGCTTCGGTTTGGCCTAGGGACGATTGCAGCAGGTCGGGCACATTCCGGATTACCAGTCTGGGGAGAAACCACCGCAGCGATATAATCGGTGAGTTTCTGTCTGTCGCATGTGCACTCTAGGTAACGAGCGACGAATAACAACTTACCATTAGAATTACTTTTGTACTTCGATTTAGCGTGGTCTATCTGTTTAACGCGTACATACGCTGCGCGTGGTAAATTTAGAAACGCGTGACAACAGGATTTAATGAGCTAGAAATTAGGAAGATCACCAGTATGCGAGCTTAAACAAGTTGGTTATGTGTGATCAGGAAGGTCATACGCATCTTATCAAAAAAGTCTTTTTTAAGTCTGTGTAACCGGTAACGTACTTTTCAAATAGACACAAGCAACGCACACTACTAAATTTAGTTTTCAAAGCACCTGCAACAGCGTGAAGCGTCAGTACGATTACGGGCAGCCTATTGTTAACAGCAATGTAATATTACTACTTTGTAAAGAATACAGAATGTACTCGTAATATTAAAGCGTAATACTGAACAATACATTTTTTCAGTAGTATACTAAACAGCTTTTATAATATTGTAAAGAACAGATTTCCTGTATAAGAAAAGCGTGTTTTGAGAATTCTTTTCGAGGGTAAGGAAACTGGTATTGCGCACCATCTTTAAACGAATTGCAGTGGTGTCTGGTTGTAGCAGTGAAAGTACTGAATCTAACAAATAATAAGTAAATAACATCTAAAATAGCAGCTGCCTGATAAATAAACGTGCTCCTGCTGCAGCTTGTAAATAATAACTGCTTTTAAAGCGAATTGTATCTTGCTTACATTGTACCGAACTTTGGCGTCGTATTCTTAGTGAATTAAGAGATCCTAATTTCGTTGGTGTTTGCCATACAAATTACAATGTACGTAATCATACCTTATGGCTTATTGTACTGCTTTTCCAAAGTTTCGCAATGGAGGCGTACGCGAACGGTCGGATCTGGTTCCTGTCAATTGGTTCCGTGGATGAGAAGCCCAAGAGTCATCCGGAGAGCTGGGTGGAATTCCTACGATATCCACAGTAACACATGGGCGAAGCACACCAGCTGGACGAATCCAACAAAATTTCATTATCGCTGCGGACTGATTGTGTTCCAAGGATATCTTTACTTCACGGGCGGCTGCATCTTTACGGATCCTTTCTCTGATAGCAAGAGTGATGGTAACGCGACAACCGCCTGTTACCATGTGTACGAGTATCTCAGCCACGCCCAGTCCCAACCGGAGCGCATCGCGGATCTGAACGTGGCGCGTTACCATCACTGGGTCTTTATTAAGGACGGTCATATATGGGTGTACGGTGGAATGACCCAAGATTGCTTCGAGAGTCAATGGAAGCTGACTCTGTCGTCCTTTGAAGCGTGTAATGCCGAGACTAACCAGTGGAATGTGATGGAGGTGCCGGTGTCGAAGGAACTGCAGACGGAAGTGACTTGAAGGATTCACGCGCAGAAGACCGTCTGTTTGCCACTGCAGCACATGGTTCCGGCGGTTTGTGATGGGGACCGGGTTGACAATTATGATTGCAACGGCAAAGGATTTGACTGCCGCTGTGCCGCATGACCGCCATGACGGACAAGAATGAACCAAGAAATGGCTTGTTGGAGGAAGACCCGGAGTCCGAGTGGCCCACTGGTTTGGATGACTGATGACTGTAAATGGTTAATTATACATCTCGCTTACTGTAAGATTTCTCATTAATTTTTGGCTCTGTACAGTTTGCCTGGCCACAATTCATTAATTCCTGAAATTTAACTTATTCTAATTAAGAATTTGTTTAGTTTTGTGTCCGTTTTTGAAGTTTTTTTTACCTTCCATGCATTCAGTTGTGTAATTTTGAGATACACACTGGACTTCAAAATGATGTTTACGCACATCCAATCATACGCATAGCGCTATCGGCCTTCGGTGTAACCGAGGCATTACGAAAGCTACGTAATGCTATTAGTGTTACGTAATAATAATGTTGTAATGTTATTAGTGTTACGTAATGCCTCGGTGTAACCATCTTTATACTGTCCACTGTATATGCATTTATATGAGTTTACGGGAATGGGTGTTTTTATGCCCCTACAAAAGTAATTCGAGCATTGTGTACTTACATGTTAGTGTTTTTGGTGTGCATCAGAGGTTGCCCATCTCCATTTTATTACGGGAATGGATCCCATTTTTTCCCCATTTACCATTTTTCTATACTAAAATGGTATGGATGGGGAAACTGTATTTATGGATGGAGATGGATGGGAAAAACGGAGAAATGGGCGGGAATGGGAAATTTAGAAAGTAGGATAAAAATGACGAAGTAATACATTTCTACAACTATTTTGGTTGGCAAAATTCACAAAAACTCTCGACACCTTCGCGCTTTGCGCGAAGATTTACGAAAGTTGTATTATTTTACACGTTAGGATCGAGAAAATTTTGGCAAAAACAGCGCTGAATTCTCGCTTTCCATGAATAGCTGATTGCCAACGAAGACGTATTCCGTAAGCCGGCGTCAAGCAAGTTTTCGGTTGTACGTTGTAATTTTATTTTTAAAAAATGGAGCGCTGAAATGGGGATGGAAGAAAATGGGTCTGATCCAAAAATTATGGATCGGAAATGGGTGGGAAAAATTTTAAGAAAATGGGGTATGGATGGGATATGGAAAAAGCAGAAATGGGCAACCTCTGGTGTGCATCAAGCATTGGTAGACTGCTACCGTATCATTAACTGCTTGTGACTGGGATTTTCGCCAACTTTATCAAAAACAATTTGTTGGTCATGAAAAACAAAATCAGACCTCTTTGCACGTCAAAAACTTTGTTGTCTTTTATATATATTTTTCTAGCAGCAGCCAAGCGCATAAAAGTTTTGGTAACATAATGTACTCATATGATCAGAAAAATTTGTCGACCGTTGCATGTTGCTGTCATGGATGTGCACAAAGTAAATGCATCGTGCGATCTGCGTCCAACCAGCAATCGGCAACAGAACACCCGCACTCAGACATAATACTCTTTATCCTTGTTCCGCCCCATCGTGCCATTCCCGCCGGCCTGCACCGGCCCGCGCGCATGCCCGTTACGCTGCATCGTCCCGGCCGGACTGGGCTCTCGCTTACTGAAAGTCTGGTAGGTCTTGGCGCCGTCCGCCGCCGCGGCCGTAGTCGCCGGCCGGCCGTTCTTGCGATAGCGCACCGCCAGGAACACAATCAACGCCACCAGGATGACCACGCCCACCGCGATCCCGGCAATCAACGCCGCGTTCTCCCGGAAGATGTCCAGCGGATTGCCCGGCGGGGCGCCGGTGGTGGAGAGGACCGGGGCCGGCGGGAACGTGGGATAGGTGCCTAGTTTCCCGGGGGGCGGGGTAACGGTGAAGGTGGGCTTGGGGAAGGGCGTCTGGATAGACTCGGCGGTGCGGAAAAGGGAGGCGGGGGTGGTGAAGGGCGGCGGGGTGGTAAAGGTCACGTTGATGATGATCGGCGGGCGGGTGGAGCGGGAGAGAGCGGAGCGTGCCGCCAGGGGGCTGGCGTCGCCGGACGCCTCTGTATCACCTATTTGGAAAGGTCAAATGGCCAATAATGTAACTAAACTTTTTTATTTTATCATTTATTGTGTAAATATTTTACTAATGCATTTTAGTTTTATGATTTCCAATTTCTGTAACGCATGTCCTGATGCGCTAAGCGAATAAATTTATCTACAGTGTTTCGTATAATAATTTTACGAGTATCTTCATATGTTTTATTTTGTTTATTTTGAGGATTGTACGAGATCGGAGATTGTGATAGCATATCAGCATTAGGCCAGGTTAAATATGTCTTTCAAAACTAGGTTTATTCGGATTCTTCAATATTTAATTCGATTCTGCATAATTTACGTTTATCAAAGTTTTATTTGTTGGGAATTTTGATTTGTTGTCGATGAGCTTAGATTATTTTGTAACTCAGCATCAGTGCGCGCACTTACAGTCTTCTTCGTCATCACAGATTACTGAGCGCGGTGAGGAGATCACCCGTTTGGCAGTGGTCGACATGGTCGACAACGTCGACGCCGTTGTCGTCGTTTTCGGGAATACTGTCGTCGTCTTCACAATCGTGAAGGAAGCAAAAATCAGATCGTCATCTGAAGGACAAAACGAAAGGTCATACACATATAATCGGCGCGGACAGTTTACGATATTTTAATACGTGCAAAAGGTCACATTAAGTTGCCTTTACATCGTACATACTTTTCTGACTGTTTGTCAGTGCACACCCTGTATCCTCCACTTTACACGGCACCGGCGTGGCGACAAACAGATCATCGGACGCTTTGGTGTCCGGTCCGTGGTGGGTGACATCGGTGTGCTGCATCTGGTCCATCCATTCCGCTGGCTGCTCTTTCTCGGGAAAAGAGGTATTCGTCGCCTGCAGTTCCTTCTCCATGTCGCTGACTAGCTCGGGATGACCTTCCAGCAGCACGTTCCCGTCGGTATCCGCCGCCAGATCCAGGATGCGAATGCCGTTGATGACCAGACCGGCAATGACGCCCTGGAATGCCCGCTCGATGTCGTCGTGACGTGCGTTGAGTTTGCCTCCAATTTCCACCGTGGAGATGCCGTTGAAGATGTCGTGTTGTTTGCCTGCAAAAACTCACAATTGCTTATTTAGATATCGTCACTTACCAGAAGCGAAATGTACATATATCGTCACTTTACGGCTACGAAATATTTATTCGTATTTTCCAAGCAAAATAAAACAGTCTGAAGTACCGTGATCAAAATTTCAAATAAATATTCAGGAAGGTTCCTTGTTGATTAATTTTTAATATTAATACCATATTTAATAAATTGCAATTAGAGGTAATGAGAATTATATGTGAATGAGATACGTATACGAGCATGTACTGAAAAAATAATTAATAAATCCAAATAACATTTTAATCTCACCTGATGGTACTTTTGTAACCGGTTCGTGCCCGTCAATCTGCAGCGTGGCATTGGCGCCATCCCGTTCGAAGCGCACGATGTGATACCGACCGTCGTTCAGCCGGTGTTGAAAATCGCTGATTAAATGCGCATAATTGCCCATATTGTAAACCACAAACAGGTGACCGGCAACCTGTAAAATAAAGAAAAGTCCAAAATTAATTTTGAAAAGAGGCAAAGCCAGTCGGATAAAGCAAGCGGCATACAATTTGGAACTCAATCACATCTTCGGATGTGAAGCTGCCGATGCGGCAGATGAGCGCTTCGTCTTCCGAAGTCACCAACCCGAACGCAATGCGATCGGATCGCGAATCCGGACGTTGTGCCGCATCGAAATGATAAATCACCAAACCCGGCAGCGGGCCGAACCGATAGGCAGTGCTAACTGTAAAGGTCACCGGTTACTACAATACTTTCGAATTCTCCGAAATCCAAAAGTAAATTTACATGAAAATTTATTTGGTTGAGGATAAAGTAGTTTAAAAATCAGTAATTTATTACGAAATTTATTAGTTTAATTTAATAATGACACGTAATTTAATAATAATACGCAATAGATAGTTTTTATATCAAAAGGCGTCATATGGTAAATTAGCTTACACTGGTAAAAATCTAATCGCTTTATTTATTTATAAACCGGGGAGCTTTCGTTTTGTTGTACTAAAATAAAAGAGAACAGTACAGTAAGAAAACGTACAGCAAGTAAGTTAACGGTAAGTAAGTTAACGTAGAACAGTGAATTAACGTACAGTTTGAGCAAGTATTCCCGGTGAAAGACGTCATATCACAGTCACACCCGAACCCCATCCACTGCTGCACACACCGTCCGCCGTGCTGGCACACCGCGCCCTTCCCGCACTCCCCGCGGGGCCCCTGACAACCCGCCACGACCATATCGCTCTTTACCTTGACCCCGCCTACCAAATCCACCACCACCCCGTTGATCGTCAACCCCGCCAGACACCCCGAGAACCCGGTCTGCGCCCGAACCGACCGCGGGAGACTGGCGAACATCCGTCCGGGAAGTCCGCCGACGTACAGACTCCCCTGGAGGTTCAGCCGGGACTTCTCCTTGACGTCGACCAACACCCACTTCTCCCCGTCCACCACCAGGACATGGTCCGTCCGCTCAGGACGTCCGATCTCCACACTGTGCCATTGGTTGTCATTTAACGGCCGCCGGCTGCTGGACGACAGGCTCTGGGCGCCGTTGCCCATGTCGAAGACCAGGTGGAGCGTCGCGTGGACCAGCTCGACGGCGATGAAGTCCTGGGCGTACTTCCCGTTGAAGAGGATGAGCCCGGTGGTCTGGACGGTGCGGAAGGCGAAGCGGAGGGACAGCTGGGGGTCGGCCTGGAGGGGCTCGAGGGTCACGAAGGCCTCGGGGCTCTGGAAGGAGAAGCTGGAGGGTCCGGGGTCCGAGGGCTTGGTCTGCAGGCGGGTAAGGACGTCGGTGGTGTCCAGGTGGAGGTTCTGGAGCTGGCCCCGGAAGGGCGGGAGGGGACGAGTGGAGGTCGGAGGTGCAGGGCGGTGGGAGGAGGTGAGCGGCAGTCGGGAGGCGCGGATGAACTTCTTGGAGCGGGTGCCAGGCTGCTTGCCTAGGTCCAGCCGGCAGTAACGCAGGGAGATGCCGTCCAGGGTGGCTGATGTTTCTACACCGGTGAAATTATTTTACTAACGTTTTCAAACGATTTTCCCAAATAATCAACGATTTTTTTCAGTTTAATTTACCGGCGAGTTCGTAATTATCCAAAACGATTTTCACATATTTTCCGTGGCGGTGAAATTTGACGAAATGCCATTTGTCATCGTTGAGCGTTTCACCGACTGTCCATTCCAACTGAAAACAGCAAGTCAGTCAAAATGAATAATAAGTTTTAATACTAAAATAATTTCTTTAATTGTATTATTTCTTTTTAATTGTATTATTTAATTATTATGATGTTTTTTACCTTGTCGTTAATTATCGCTTCCGCGCTGAGTGTGACCTTTATCTTGCCGCTGACCAGCGCAACGACTAAGGCATCATCCGTTACGTCGCCGGCAGCTTTATTCAGACACCACAGTTTCAGGATAAAAGCACTGATAGACAGCGACCGGAAGCGAAAGGACAGGCTGGTCACTTGGCGGGGTTTCGCCTCTTCAGCTGGCATTTCGTATTTTACGTACGGGTTGCTGTCGTCAAAGCGCATTTCCGATGCAGCTAAAATTCAAACGTCCGGTAAGGTCGTTTCACACTGCTTATACGAAAACTTTTGAATAATAATTAAAAGTGCAAATAAATTAAATGTTGAATATTAGGTAAATGATTTCTAATTGTCTGCGTATTATGAAAATTAATGATGGTTTGATTTACTGTAGTATTCTTGCGCACGAGCGCCCCGCATAAAAATGAGCACGAATAATTAATTTAATAATACATAAATATGCGCGAATACCGTATATCCATGAAATGCTGAATGAAAATAGCCGAGCGGAACAATTTGCGCGTTCTATTGACACGGCCCACGGTGTTTTAATGGATTGAATGCACAATCTGACCAGACCGGCACACGTGCGGCCGGCTGTTTCGACCGGAAATAACCGGCGGCGGGACAACAGACCGATAGTGTCCAGCTGCCTTTTGTGCGAGCGCTAATAATTGGGTGAAAATTCTATATGCTGAATACACGGCACACGCCGTGGGTGGCGGTCAATATCTGAGCCAACGCTCGCCTATTTTGGAATGTTTACCTCCGTAGAAAATTTCGTGTTTTTATCACGCCGCAGAAACGCTTCAAATATATAATTAACGGGTCAATGTGCCATATAATAAAATCAAATTAATTGGTCGTCGTTTGTGTGGAATATTTGCCGCTCTTCTATTAATACTCGTACGGCAAACCACAACCGAATGGCACAGTTATTTATTATTTACATCACTATCATTAAATGATATTGATATGAATAATAAAAAATATTATTAAGATTAAGTTTTACTCTTATTAATAAAAATAAATGTTATTCTTATTAAATAATCGATTCGAAATAATTTATATTTTATTTGTATAACTTCAGTAATAACTAATAAACCCTATGTTTTTCAGATAAAAACATGTTAAATAGTTTTTTTAAAAAATCATTTAAACACAAATACGAAAATTACAAGTTTGAAGAATTCTAGGCGATGTAATATTGTACTGTATTGAAAACTGCAACGCTTTTACCCATGTTGCGCGATTGCGCGCCGTACACTGCACTACGGTGCTGTCTGATTTTACCCGTGTCGTGTGTTAGGTCGAACTGATATCATTTGGCTACAAGTCAAATTATGCTTGTCGAATGTCGATATCATTTCGCATGTTTCTTATTTAATATAATTAAGCGGGACACCTGTACAAATTTGCAAAAATTATATGATGCCCAAAAATATTTTGAATCTATTAACAAAATAAATAGATCATTAGTTTTATTAATTTTTATTTACCTGAGTTATTTTAAAAATAAATTAGACAGTTTAGCCGCTTTGTAAAAACAATAATCAGGAAATTATTTACCTATACATGACTGGAAAATGTTTGTCATACATAAGATCTGTGCCGAATATTGTAGCAAGACACCTACAGTAATTTAAATTAAAATATTAAAATAAACAATTTGATTTTATTTATTTGTTTTGTTACTTTGTTTTGGATATTTATTACTATTTTGTCTTGGATATTTATTATTGATACCTTGTTGGCAATTGGGGCCGGTAAAAGCGGTATGCTGGCAATCACACGTGTACCGCTGCCATCCCTCCCGGCATTTTCCGCCGTTGGCACACGGGTTGGACGGGCAGTGAGCGGCGGCGAAGGGACGATGCGGGCAGGACCATTTGTCCAGTTGTTCGCCGATATCCACCGGCTTCTTGTTCAGGGATATTTTTTTAATTAATCCCCGGAATGTCGCACCGGACTGCACCGACCAAAGGTCAGCCAAGTTCTCACGGCGCGGCGGCGCTCCACCGATGTATAACTACAAACATGACATTTTACAGTCTTAATAAATATATTGCGATAACTTCACTATTTAGTGGAAAGATCCTGTTATTAGCAAGACACAATAACAAAAAATTGCGAGATAAAATTGTTAGTAGAAACCTACGGTAGAAATTCGAAAGTTTGATATTGTTTTAAATAGAACGAGGAATCGTAGAACAGTGGCGTTCACAAGCTAAGGGACGACATGACAAATTAATTTATGAAAGCTTGACAAAAAATCTTCCAATACGGTTTTGATTTTTTTTTAATTAGGCGCCACGCATAAACTGGATACAGAATTAGCAGTTGTGAACAGAGAATAAAAATTTAAAAAATTTAGATTGCGTTGATAAACCTGACCTAATAATCTGGATAAAGCAATGTGTTAAATATAAAAACAATAAACTGTATTTAAAAACGAAACGTAAATTCAAGTTAAACAATGAACGAGTTAAATATTAAATTAAATAATAAACGAATGAAATAATAAAAATAGAAATCCGGTGATAAATGAATATACTTGTATGTTGTATGCATTGTATGTGTGACTGACTGTAGTGAATCAGTTTCAACTTGTATATATTCTAGCATGATTAACGGCGAACAGTAAATACTGTCGGCTTTAATTATTCGGGAATCGCAAAAAATGGAATAATGTTTCAACAGGTAAAATAAATCGATGCCCTACGTTTATCGAAATTTTGAAATTATTTCTTGTCATCGCTGTGAAGAGATATTCGCGTCCGGTCTTACATTATGCGACATTATGCTTTTGGGGGTCGTGGTCAGTTTGCTGTATAAATTCACCCCGGGCTCATTACTCCCGCCAATGATGAACTCCGTGGCGGCATCATCCAGCTGGATTTGCCCGATCCCGCTGCGCTCGTCCAGTGTCAGATTCAGCTCATGCCAGGCACCTGCAGATAAAATGCCAGCTGGCTGACAAAAATTAAATAACTACAGAGTACATACAGTATTTATAATTACCAGACTAAAGTCTAAATAAAATGAAGATTTCAAAAAGATTTTAAATAATAGTTATATTAGAGCATTCGCTTGTATTCTGTACAGATATCAGCTTAGAACAAAAAAGACGCCTAACCCTGGCACTGTTTTTTTTTGCTGCTGTCACTGTTACACCCAGATATCCGTACGCAAGTGCACTTGTACGACAACCGGATATTTTGGCGGAGCCGTACGTATGTATATAACAAGGTGCAACGCCACAAAAATAATATTAGGCGATAATTTAGTTAATGTTTTAATGCAGTTTAAAGTTGTTTCATTTTAGTTAATCAGTCTAATTTAATTACGTCAGCACGAACTAAATGCACGGTTAGTGCTGCGAAACCAGCACACAACACAGTATAAGAAATGTCGTAGTGCAATGGTATGCGACAGCTATGCCTCCGCTTTGCTTCTGGATTGTCAGCCAAATAAAAATCAAACAGTGCCAGTAGCAAAAATTAATTTTTTGCTGCCATTGCTACATTTTTCCCGTTAGCTTCATAGTATTATGCTGCGGGCGTGTTTTTTGCGAATGTCTAGTAGTCTACTCTACCTTCCTATTTTTTTATATTATTTTCCCGATTCCCACCTGCGAGGCCGGCTATGATTAATATATTACTTTTACTGGTTTTGTTATTCAACCACATTAAACTCTTTGAACAAATTAAATGTCTTGATTTGGATCGCTGTTTTCGTAATATCTTTTGTCATCAGTTATTCCATTTATTTTACAGTTATTGTAAATTATTATTTGTTGTACTCTGTAGATATCAAAATTATTTTTTATTCAAAATTATTCTTATTCAAAATTTTTTTTACAAACCATCGTTGGCTTTGAGTGTGGAAACCGGGATGCGGCTGGCCTCCTCCAGCTGCCCACCGGCCGCCGCCCGCTGGATGAGCAGACCCAGCTGCCCGTCGTACATGTCCACCGCCGTTAGGGAGGCGTTGTTCTCGCGGTGCAACAGCAGCAAGCCGCTGGCTTCCGTCGTCTTGAACTTCACCGACAATGATTTGAACGGCTTATTTCCGGTGCCGATTAGTAGATACTGCTCCGCACCGCAGAAATTCACCGGTCCCAAGAAACGCTTACTGTTGCGCTGGCAGGTAAAGGTCACCGGCGCCGCGGACTGGTTGGTGTGCGGGTAGCGTTTGATGGAGCGGGTGAAAAGGTCATGCCGGATGTTCCCGTGTTGCAAAAACAGCTAAAATTTATGGAAAACGTTAATACCGTCGTTACGCGATATTAATGCATGACCCTTCAAAATGAGGGATTTTATTTACATAAAGTTCAATCTACATAGGCATAGATGAATTGAATCATGTATTCAAAAATTGCAAAACTCTTTAGCAATGTTCGGTTTTTTGGTACTATACATGTGCGTACTGTTACATAGTAATAAATACAAATAATGAAAATAATCTTATTTTATGATATAAATTGAGTGTAATATTATTATAACATTTGTTATATATGTTATTTTGTAAGTTTTTTAATATAATATTTTCATGTATTTTGTATATGTAAAATTAAGAATGCCGTATATGATATTTTTGTATACTGTTTTTTTGTAATAAAGAATTAAGAAATTCGTGGGCAGATACACATACTATGTGAATTTTGATACGTCCAAAATGTACTGGGACCTAGAGCGCGTATTGGATGGAATAATATCAGTAATTTTAAGTAATACAAAAAAATAAAAAAAATACTCCGCAAAACAGTTAGTTCACTTTTTCAAAAGCAGGATTCTTATGTTACTGAACAGACCCGAAACCGGGTAGGTAGAAAGGGGCTTTATATACAGGAGAAATCGTAGTGCAAAGGCTTCAAGTATCTCCGTCATCCTTTGTCGCCAGATAAAGTTTGCAAAAATTTAACACTTCTGACAGTATTATACCACTGATGGCTAGAATAAATTTTTTGTATATCAGAAAAGTGTGTGCAGATAATTATTTTAAGTCGCAACCGGGCTGACATACGTCTATATATAGAGATCATCGAATTTTAGGCTGCAAATCATTTGTACCCAAAATGATTTGGGTACAAATGATAATATTTTGTGCAATGACAATATTTTGTGTTACAGTGCAACGTATATGTTCGGTGACTTTCTTGAGTTTCTAATCTGGCAAGTTGAAACTGTTTTCAGAAATGGCTGTGATTAATACGTACATCCAGCACCGTTCCGTGGAAATTATCCGTATTGTCAAAAAGATTTTCCACTTTGGCTTCTTCGACTTCCGCATCGGAAATCCCGCCGAGCAACAGTGTTTGAATCTGCCCGATTTCTTCATATTTTTCTCCACTGGCTATTAAACGTTTAGCACGACTTTTTCCATTAATGGAGACGGTTATCTGCAAAACCAAAGTAATTTCTTAGTCAGTAAGTGCGCTAAAAATGTCAAAATTAAAAAACAAATCTTTGACTTGTTGCTAGAACGTAGCTGTTAACGTTTAAGTTAAAAATCGTAGAACAATGACGTTCACATCACACGCAAAACCAATCGATGACGATATTACTGCAAACTCGATAAAAAAAATTGTTAATGCGAATCCACATTTAAATAAATCCATAATTAAATTTTTTTATTTGATTACCTACGCTTAACGTAAATCCATATTAATATCAAATTGAAGGAGAAAATAAAATATGGTTCATAGAGTTTAAAAATGCGGTGATAATCCTGACCTCGGGGGGATCACTTTGCAGATGCACACTGATGTTATACTGCGCATAATCCCGGAAATCCCGCTTAATGTCCGGTTCAAACTCCTCCCGCACCGTATACGCGGCAAATCTACCGGCAAAGATCAGTCGGCCATTTTGCAAATAAAACGCTAAAAATCCGTTAGACGATGTTTTGGCGCAGATAATCACGCCATTCGCTTGCCGGCTGCGACAACTAAGATGCAGAAATTCCGATACACCGTCCATAAATATTGTTGATGGAGGTTGAAGATAAAACGACAGGAAATCCTTCCCCGAAAAGTCGTTTTCACCGGCCAGATTTTCTGTAAAAAATAATATTTGGTATTTTTGGTATTTAGTTTTATTTAGCTAAAAAAGTATCATTCGTTGGTTAAATAAATATATCTAAAATCAGAAAGTTATTACCAATTTTTACAAGTAATGTTTCTGATTTTGTTTGTATAAAATACATTTTTGTACAAACTATTTTTGAAAAGATGTAAAATTTACTTTTGTGTATAAAATATATTTTTGTATTTTTTATTTAAATTATAAGGCTCGGGTATTTAATTCAAGTTAAAGAATTTTTGTTTGCGCACAAAACAGCATGTGAGTAGTTTAGGACCGTTGGTTTTTTTTAAATCTGAAGGTATTATCATTTGCTGGCCATTTTATTTTACAGCATACATGCTGTATTTTTTCCGCAGTCAATTTTTTTCTACACCGGCTATTCTGAAATTATTATTATTATTCTTTATCGTTCAGCAAAAGCTTTCAACAATATTTAGCCATATTTGCGGAAAATAAATGTCATTTAATCGCTTAATGGAAAATAGTCTTTTGATTTACCATTTTTTGCTGTTATCTATTTTTCTGCGCTGACTATTATTGAAAAAATATTAATTTTAATTTATCGCTTAATGGGTAGTGTCATCAGTATTCAGCCCATTGTGGACATTCCAACAAAAATAAGGTCGTCTCTCATGGATTATTGCCCGATGAGACGTCACGAGGAAAAAGATAATCCTTGTCCACTGTGGACACTGAAAGGCCTGCACCGATAAATATTTGTCTGCAAAATGCCGGCAGATTAGTTCAGCATGAATGGGGATGTGTGTAATTTTGTGCAAAATATCGGGGAATAAATATGCTGACATCTTTTCGTATCAAAAGAAAACCCAGGCCACAAATCATCGGTCTGGCCACAAAGGAAAATCGTCTTGCCCATAAATCAGCCATATATGTACGGCGTAGATATCTACACGCAATCCGCTAATCCTATCAAACAATCTTTTTCCATTTTGTATGGTCGGTGTATTATTTCCCGTATATACTCGTACAATGCCGGCACGCGCACATTTCTTCCCGTTCCGCTTGCCGGGCGCCGGCTGTATGGGGGCGTGGTCAAGCTTCATTAAGCACAATGTCCACGCAATCAGTTGGCCTTAATTTCTCTCTCACAGGAAAATACGATTTTCCTGTTTTTTTTTCACCAGAAATTTGCTTGTAAATCGTATAAAATTATGTAACCTAAAGCAAATATTTTTGAAAATGCTATAATATATTACTGCAAATTTTAATTTAAATTTATTAGAATTTTGATTTATAAATTCTAAGTAATATCTTCAATCTTGTATAAACTTAATTTTTGCTTGCAAGAAATAATGAATTTAATTACGGCAGCAATGGAAAAATAAAAGTATTATTATTGATTTTGTAGAAAATTATTAAGTTTCGGTTATTTTTTTTACAAAGCAAAATTAAATCAGTGTATACAGAAAAGTAAAATATCAGTTTCAGCTCGGTAAATCAATCCTCCGCTTGTTTTAATTTATGTCGATTTGAATACAAAAATTTTGCCTATTGGGTTTTATTGCCTACATAATATTTTAGGCTGTTTTACTTTGAGATTTGTTAAAACAGAACGTTTTAAATATTTAGATGCAACGCGCTGAAAACGTTTTAATTATTTTATGCCATCTAATAGATGGCATAAAATAATTACAACGTTTTCAGCACGTTGAATCAATACGTAATTTTCTTCCCCAATTTATATTTATTTTGGTAATAAATTTTCATGGTTTGCCGGAAAAAGTCCGCTTCGTGTCAGCGGTTGATTAAGTAAATTAAAAAGGAAAACGGTCGATATTTAGTCAGAGTTGGATGGAGGGGAAAGTGTGTCAAAGGAGTGAGTGGCGCTACACATCAGGACTACGGAATAAATGGCCACGTCGCGGTGGATACATTTTATTTATTTAAGCCGCAGCAAGGGCCACTTGAGTCTGATGGCACATCCTTTATTTTATCCGCTACACTTTCCCCCCATTCACAACATCCCCAATAACAATAACAACTTATGCCACTCAAACGTCCACGCCAGGACCATTTTACAACGCACCGGCCACATATGCCGGAGTGTGCAGAATTTTTCACATGATTAAATATACACAATACAACAGACGCTTTTATTATTTAATTGTACAGCAACGCGGCATTTACCAGCTTCGGCAAAATAGTTTTTTTGCAAAACTTCTTATAGTAATTTGGTTTTTTGTATCTTGATTTATTAATGCACTTATGTACACTAAAATCAATATTTTAGTTTTATTTGTAACAAGCAGATCTGCAGATATATCTAAATTTTACTTTTTGGAAATATTTTGCATTGCGCATGGAAATATTATTAAAATTGTCCTGCAAAAACTCGAAAAGATCATAATAATTTTAAAAATAACTAAAGGTATTTTGCAGAATTTCCGCGCTCCATTACCTCCACGTAGATCTTTACTTTATCAGTTTTTTTATATTTATTTTCCGATTTCACCAAAGAAATTTTTTTCTTTTTAAACACCTACGAATTTCTCCGATTTTTGTTTCGATTTTGGGCCGATTATCGAAGTAATTTTAATTTACAGTATTTGCAAAGCTCAGAAACATCATAAATAACTTAAAATAAAGTTTCCAAAATTTTTACGACGTTTTATCATATATCAATGAATAAAATGATTTTTCCTAGATTTTCGTGCAATTGCACTGACCAGTGGTCAGCCGGGTAAATTTACTGCGCGGGGGACATTAATTTGGGAAATTGTTCATGGGCGATTGTCGTCGATTGTGGCCGATCGCGAGTGATTGCCGGGTGGATTAGCGAGGGCAAACTGGCCAAGTGATGGGGATATCGGTGGCCTGTGGCTAATTAAGGGAAACCATATCGCTCGCGCACCCGCCATCCCCGTTCGCCTATATATTTCCGCATTATGCTAATTTCCTCCGAGGCATCCTTGATCATTAGGGTGTAATGTGCATGGATTATGCACTTGTCAAGCACCAATCATCGCAATATACTCCATTTCGGTCATCCCGAAATTTTCAAGAATATATTTAAATTATATAATTTATCTTCAACGCAAAATTTGTACGGAAAAGAAAACATTTACAAAAAGATTTTTTCAGAATATTTTTCCCCATCAATGAGTTTTGAATTTCACGTTTTTTTAGCTTGAAATAATATTTACTGATATAAGCATTTGCACAATTTTTAAATATTATGCAGCTTTACTTGGAAACATTTTGCAAGCTTTAAGTTAAAAGTGAATTTATTATAATCCTCGAAATAACTTCTATAAAAAAAAATTTAAAAATTGAAATGTTTTCTGTGCGACGAGCGCTTTACAAAATTATAACAAAATTATTAAAATTCAGCATTTCCAGTTATGGAGATGCCACAAATTTTTAAAACTTATTTTTAAAACCGCAAAAAATTTATACAAAATCCATTAAAACTATGAAAAAATTGGGACGCGCATTCTATGCACGTTATCTTGACAATTTAATGAAGCATTGCCAAAATTATAAAAATTAATTTTATTTTCCTTTATGGAGACGCAGTAAATTTTCAAAAATTGCTAATAAAATCAAAAAATGTCTATATAAAATTCAGTAAAATTATGGCAAAATCAGGCCGGTCCTAATATGCATATCAGTCCCAGCATGCATGGCTGGACGGGTCCATTTGACCACGTTTTTCATGTGCAATGAAGGGAACCGGCATCGGTCGGGACGCGCGCGCGATGCTTATCCCCGCTTATACAGAGGGCAGCCGAGGCCGTGATTTGGCTAATCAGCAAATCCCTGCCACATCAACATATGAATAATAATCGGGATATCGTTAGGGCCATGTTGCCCTACACGTATCGATCCGGGATGAATGGGCCGGCGCCCATACACATCTATGTATGTTAATAATGAGCGGGGGCTAAAATGGGCAATTGGGTGGCCGGCCGGCCGAGTGGACGGCCGCGGCCCATTCAGTGCCGGCATAATTGTGTACTTTGGCCCCGCTGCGTGTAATTGCGCCCCGGCCGTCTGGCCTCATCACCGTCCAGCCACGGATACGGTGATCCCGACTGAATAGTGTCCCGTGTAAACAACCGACTAATATATTTTTGTTCTGTTTGGAATAATGTGTTGACATATCGGGCCATTATTGGCCACCGCCCGGCAGACAGTCACATTAAAATTTTTTTTAATGAAAATTGCCAACCACACAGTGTTCTAAACAGGCCAATGCAATTTCTTAATTTTTAAGGAGTAAAAAACATCGGAAAACATATATTTCAATTTTATAAACAAATTGTAATGTCGAGGGTCGACTTAAAAAATAAATGCTGTAAAAAATTGGAACAATTTTATTACTTTTAAACGGAAATACATCGGAAAGTGATTTAAGCTAAATTATAAATTAACAGGACATTTTTGAATCTGCGTTATTAGTAAACTAATACGGCACGTAACAAAGAACGATAAAATCTTGAAATAAATAATTTTAATTTATAAAATCACAGTAATTAAAAAATACTGTACATACATGTATATAAAACATTATAATTACCATATATAAATGAAATATAATATCCATATATATATATAACATAACATATATACTCGTATATACAGTACTTATATAAATAAATGCATATATAAAGCAAAATAAAGATATAAAATTGAAGCAAATATTCTAATAACGCCTAAATATTATCTTAGTACGTGCAGTAACAGCGGACGTTCATTGCTGACCTTTCTCGCAGAGACCGGTCTCGTGGATGACCTCCATGCCGCCGTGACTGACCACCTGCGGGTCTTTGCCCGCGGCTGTCTCGTACATGATGTGCCGCAGCAATCCCCGGAAGCGCGGCTCGAAGAGAACCGACGGATGGGTGAGGGGGCGCGACAGATTGCCCGGCATCCCGCCCATGCACACCGCCACCGGCGGCTGGGTGAACACACTGCCGCTGGGCAGCGTGCGCTTCTCCACGTGCTGACCGTGGCTGCTGAATAAAGTAACCGAGAAAACATTGGATGTTTTGGATAGCTGGACAATCGACCACTGATGGTCGTGGGGCGGTCGGCGTAGCGTCAATGTCAAATGGTGCTCATGATGCCGGCTGACCGGTAACTGAAATATTAAAATAAATATTTTTCATCATTTTTTAGTGAAAAAACTATTTACAAAAATTATATAGCATTCTGTTTCTTTACTCTGATTTTAATTTAGCTTATGGTTAAAAATCAATTAATAATGTAAAGCTAAAAAATTGTATAGATAAATAAACTAAAATAATGTTTATAATTTTAATTAAATAAAATAACTGGTTAATATTTTATTTTAGCGTGTGCTAAATTGAAGTAGTAGCTTTATACCAAGCTACTGTAGTTAATAACTGCCGTGGAATTTCAAATTTGTACCGGCATATTATTTCTAAATCTACAAAACTGGCATTTAGGTAAACGCGTATGAATTATATTTTTTTAATTACTCGTAGCGTTGTGCCAGTGTTTTCAGTGTTCGATTAATTTTCTTAATTTTATATTAGTCCGTAATGTTTTTAGTTTTGTAATTTCGTTTTTTTTACCGTGGGAGATGTGGGAATTTGTAGCCGGCACTCCAACAGATGTTCCTGTGTGGTTTCCGACTCGGTTAATCGAAGCAGGACGAACGCCCGACTGCGCACATCATCGGCGTACAGCAGCAGCCCGGTCGAATGATTCGTCCGGAATTCAAAGGAAAAATTCCAGCTACCCGGCGACGGCGTCCATTCCGTCATGTGCAGAAAGGACGACTCCATGCCGTTCAGCCGGTAGCCGACCGTGGCTGCGGCTAACGCCGACCGCCAGGCCAATGTCAATAAGAAGAGTAATAAAGAGATATCCGACCATTCGCGCCGGTCGCGCATCCGAGCCGGCTTGATTATCGCCATGCCGCATGGAATCTACGAAAACCCGAACAAAAATCAATGCTTTTAATTTTTGAAAAAAGTTTCGAATATTTTCTGGCAACATAATCATGCAGTAATTAATATATCAATGGTGATAGCATTGAATAATTCCAGAAAACGAAAAACTGTCGAACTTGAACAAAAATATTGTAATCCACATTTAAAAAATAATATTAAGTCATAATAATTTCGGCTTGATAATGTTCAGTAATTCTCCGCTTAATAATATTCAGTAATTTCTATTCAAAAATGCCTGTAAAAAAGTCTGTAATTAATCTTCACATAAAATTTTATTTATAAATTGAGAATAAATAAAAAATATAATTATGGCAACATTCAGAAAAAATCCAGATAACTTAAACAAAATAATAGAAGATACAACGACGGTAAAAAAAAGGTCTGTACCACATTATTTGCGGCTAAAGTAGTATCTGAAAAAACTCAAATCTACGAGTAAAATTTCTTCAAAAAGCGGAAAAATGCGCTGACACTGTCGTTCACCGGGTTTATGGGTTATACCAATATATATACCGGCGAAAAAAAAGAATTGTTTGCCGCGGTTTTGTAACACTAACCACCTTTTGAGCCGCAATGCGGTGAATGCAAAAAAAGCCCCGCAGCGGAAGCGCAGAGTGCAGCGGAAGTGGTGCTGCGTGTTTGGCGGGAGAGGATGGGATACAATCATAAAACGCTGGTGAGTAAATCCGCGGATTTTTTCCCACCGCAATGTTTAGCCCCTTTTAACCTGGCTCTTGCCACACTCACACACACACTCCACAAATACACTGACAGGTTTTTCCTTTGGATCAACGAGCGTTCACCGCCGCAGCCGGAAGCCGATAATGGGCTGTGTCGGCGTTCGGCGTATTACATGCAACGGTAACCGAAGATATACATATACGGCCAATATATACAGTTCTGTCCCTAATATCTTTATGCTTGGTTTGAAACAGCCAAATCGAACAAATTCCGTTTTACAGAATTTTCGATTTAAAGAATTTTTTAATATAAACGTTTTCATATTCTTATATATGTGTTTCTCAAAAAAATAATGTAATTTAGCGGAAAAGTATTTACAGTGTTAGTTGAAGTTTTTATTGCCAGGGCAAATTTTTGCAAATTCGAAAAAAACGTTACAACAGCACAGTTGAAGTTGATCAGTCAAATCCATCAACACGCATTCTAATACTATATGAAGGAGATATCGTAGTAAAGTGGCACGGGGGGCACTACAGGCTGTTTTAGCAAACACACGATAACATAATATTTCCTACATAATATTTCCTACGATGTGAAATCAAATTTCTAACCTTTTCAGCAATTTTTATTGCTCGATTCCGGAGAAAACAAACTGTAAAACGACCGGTAATAAATTCTGCAAACCGATAATAAAACCGCGACACTCACCGCTTCCTAATCGTCCAAATTAAACAGCATTTCTCGCAGACAAAGCCAAACTGATTTCATAGATTTACTCTGTATACAAATAAAACATTAGGAATATTCCACAATATTTTGCAAATTAATCCTGATAATAAAACGAATCCCGAAAACATATTCTGCCCATCTTGCGATTTAAGCCGAAAGAGCAGACCGCACAATCACTAGCCACACACTGCACCGTGACCTTTGGCAACATCTCAACGCCGACCACAATTAGCGTAAAACGCCGGCTACACGAATATAATATACATTCGCAAGGTGTTAATCCGCCAGGTTCCTCCTGCGCTCTGCCGGAAATGGTCAGCTAAACGCCGCTAATCAGCACACTGATGATTACAACCCATACCGGCTTTTAGCGGCTAAATATTCGCACTGGTTAAATCTCTGGATTAACTCCGAGGGATCTGTAACGTGCTGTGCATATGTGTAAGTGTGTAGTACAAATGTCTTAGTCATCGCGTGGGCTGCGGCGTGAAAGCAGGCAGCCGATGATTAGGCTGCTGTGCGCATGCTCAGCGTCCATCAGGCAAATTAGTGGCCGTATTACGTGGGCGGCTGTCTGTGGATGTGCACTCTCTCCCCGCTTTTGATATTCTTCCCTTTTGTGCGGACGGGAAGAGCGGATAAGAGGGAGGAGACTAAGCTGGCACTACTACCCTCATTTTTATACCCCGATCAGGCCGAGATTAGGGGAACGAGAAAAGGTCACTATTTTATTCTTATAAAACGTTCACAAAATGGACATTTTCGATTTATTTTAAATTTAAAACAATTTTAAAAATTTTTTAAGCATATAAAAAACGTAAACGAGTGACATTACGTTTAACTCTCATATTAAAAAACTAATAATTAGAGAACGCCTTTTAAATTATTTTGACATTATTACAACAATTTAAAACTGGCAATAAAGAATGTCAACAAACAATATTATGTAATATAAAATCTCAATGCAAAACGACCAGTTTTCTGATATAAATTTAAAAAAGCATTGTTAAGCCGAATTTTAAACACAGAAAAAGAATACAAGTATAAACGATTAAAATTACCGGCAGTTATTCGTATAGAAAACATTAAAACTAAAATGTATTTTAAATTATTTTGATTTTCCAAAAAAATCTTAACTGTAAAACTGGCTTAACTACAAAACACTAGTACGTTAAACAGGCAAATCGATCAAAAAATTTAAAAAAATAAAACATTACTTGTGATTTCTAAACTCAAACAATCGGCATCAACATTCATCCATCAATTACAAAGATTTCAAGTTCAAGAGTAAACAACGTGCAAAAATCCCTGAAAGTATTTTAAATTAACTCCATTTTCATTTAGATTCCAACCGATCAAACGGAAAACCCCGGCGCTTATAAATACCCCGTTTTTTAATCACAGACAGGAGCCGGTATACTTATTATTAACTCACGATTAGGGCAATCGTGCGTTGCGCAAAAAGATAAACAACCCCGTCCGCAATGCGTCATCGGGGAATAAAATAAAACACTCCACCGTCATGGCGAATAATAATATTTCATACCGAAAAACCATCCGAATACTCCGCGCATCACGCCCCACTGCATTACCACAGACTGTCTCCCTTCGCGATAACCGGTACACCAGCGTCGGACGGGGATGATCAGTATTTTCTCACATTGTGTCCCAAGAGGCCCGGCACAGGAAGCGCTTGATTATTCCAGCGACTCAACGCACATATACACAGGGCGCTCCTGTGTCTTAAGGGATTCTAACCGCATTCCCGCGCTTTTCCATCATAGAACGCCGGCATTTGCATACTATGTATTAAGAGATTCTTGACCTATGTCAAGCTTTTATTTTAAAAACAACGCCGCTATATCCGAGTGTTATATCTATGTGTGCACAGCAAATGAGCCGCTTCTAGATGATTTTCCCAAGATTGATAGCTGTGAGAATTTCCTTCCGCAAACGGATTTTCTAACAAGAAAATCAACAACAACCAAATCAATTTTTTTTCTTAAGTAGAACCTTTTTAAAAAGGTAACAGAATAATATAAAATAATATACTAGATCGTAATATTAAAAAAAGAGATAAGGAATAAAAATAAAATAAAGTAATAACAAGATAAAAAATTCTTTTCACTATTGCATGTATGAAAAAATATCATTGTTATTAGTCAGTTAAGCGTCGAAGCATTTAAATAATTTGCTAAATAAAACTACTGTCGAAGCATTTAAATAATTTCCTAAATGAAACTAGTGCCGCACTAATTCCCTAATAAGATTCATTTCCCAAGTTATCGATTATAATAAAATCATCAAAAATATACAGCAGTGCCTGCAATGGCAACGTTATAACACAAATAACAGAATAAAAAAATGTGGAGTTTAAAAAGGACAGTTATTCAGCGCAAGAATTGCGGGATTTTAATTTAATAACACTGCACAGTTAAACGTCGATTGGACGAATTTAGCCGTCGGTTCGGAAGAATAAGTAGCAGAGTTTTATCGTGCATAAAGAGAAAAGAGCGTAATATTGATCATAACCGGCACGGAAGGCACGGCGCCCGGGAGTCTTAGCATTTCTAATAAAGCCAGTCAAGCAGGAATCACGCAGTCCGCCGCAATTTCCATATATAAATACCGGCTTTGTTTACCCATCTTATAATTCATCGGGATCGTCTGACGGATATATGCGCTGCTCATTGATTGAACAGCCTTTTTTGCGAAATTTTCTCGATCCGTTTTATTATTTACTTTCTGATTTTTTCCGTGATTTATGTTTTAAATTTTTAAAGTTTTGACCTTGTTCTCTAAAAAAACAAAAATCAGAGCATCCTGTTTTTGCACAATTCTACAAAATAATTTTTTTATGTACATTATTTTAAAATTAGGGAAATGTTTTACAAAATTTGTAAGAAAAATGATTTTAAATAAAAATAAATAGCAGATTCTTACGTAATTACGGTTTACACGATTATACCAACGATTAATTAAACTGCTATTTATTCTAAAATTCTGGAACAGCTGTTGCGCAATATGGTGTGTAAAAGGAACATGTGGTGTCGAAAAAAATAAAGAAAAGTGGTAAAGCAGCTGCGGTACGGATGGATGGATTGGCTGTAATCAATAAGGACATATGTCAACATGGTGTTATTGGATTGGCAAAAAAATCCAATATACACACGGGCGACGATGGGACCGCGCAGTGTGCCGGCAGCAGCACTCACGGCGCGCCGGTCGCCTCAACATCAACAATTACAACGCTCCACATCTTGCGGCTATTTTCCCATTAATTTATCATCCCTGCCAATCATTCGCCGTCAGGACAGCTTTAATCATTACGTACAACACTTTTTTTCGCCTTCCACAGGGACCGCGGCACAAATCTCCAGATAATAAAATCGCCAGTTACTGCATATATGCCGGTTTTTGTTGGATTAATGCTTAATAGCCTATTCTCATTTTTCAATAATTTTGTAATTTATTGTAGACAATTAATTTATTTATTTATATTTTTCAAACCAAACGGCAAAGAATACTGCTTTAATTTTTTTTATTGCCAAATCAGTTTTTAGCCTAATTTCCATTTTTTTTGATATTTTGTAATTTATTTTCGAATACTTACGAAATTTATTTGCATTCTTGTAATTTTCGTTTTTCACTAATTTTGAAACTTATTGCCGAACCCTTATTTAATTTATTTGTATTCATTTAGATCAAACTGCAAAGAATTACCGCTGTAATTTTTGTTTTAATGGCTAATCCATTTTTGGCATAATTTCTGTTTTTCCTTACTTTTGTCATTTATTGACAAATTTCTTTAGTTTTTTCGTATTAATAGCAAATTTATATAAATAAATTTAGAAAATTGTGGATGATTCGGAAATAAACATTATTTTGAGGATATATCATAGCGTACGAGATGCACGATACACAAAGCACAGAGTTGACGGATGGAGAAATTTGAATGAAGAATGATAGCAATGAAATCACGCCGTTGTGCATGGCTGTGCGGCCACGCGTGATGGCCTTAATTCCCGGCTTCTCATTTTCTTCAGCCTCAGCAATCTTCCCTGCTTTCAGCAGTATTTTAAAAATAATATTATTTACCATACGTCCAACGAAAATTCAAATATCGTTATAAATAAATATAAATATATTGAAATTCCGATTAATACCATTTTGCAGCCGGGAAAATTATTGAAAAATTAGGATCAAATTCGTTCAAAATTTTACCCGTATCAAAGCAAGAAAATATTTTTTAAAAAATATTTTTAAGAATTTGAAATTTTGTGTAAAAAATTTTGCTTCGGAAACAATTTCGTTCGAATACAGAAACGAATGTTATGCAATGGTAAACAATAATTCCGTAATTTCCGACAATTACACAATATTCTAAAAAAAGTATTTAACGGATCAAATAGCGCATATAAATAAGTAAATATAATCAGCCATACACGGGCGAAAAATTTTCCCATCATCTCCCACTTCCGGTGGAATGTGGGAAAAAGTGGCCCCGGCCTATTGTTAACCGGTTTTTGTCGCGGACACAACGGCCTAGGATAACAGTTTGTTTGCCGCGTATTTAGCTCTTTATACCACTCGACAGTGCGGCAAATATTTGTTTTAATACTTGGCGTGATTAGTGTTCTACTTTTCCCATTCCTATGGAAATCCCAGCGCACACGCTGGTCCTGCCTCATTGGGATTGAATAAATAAATGACACTTGATGACTGCATACACACTACTGGCTTCTCTGCACAAGTAGTCTATATACAACCGGCAGAGAAAATTTCAGCCTTTTATTTACTCCCATCCAGCGTAAATCTGATAAGCGAGAGCAGAAACCACACAAAACCTATTGACAACCGATTCGACTCCGACATTGGACAATTATAAGAAAACATTTCTGACATCTTTATTCTATATATTCAGCGTTAGTGGACATATGGCGACACTTTTCCCGGTAAAGAAAACTTTACATCTTTTTTTGATATTAATTTAATTTAAGTCGTGCATAAATCTATCTGAACTAAAATCTGTCTTTTGAAGTCCCAAAAAAGTAACGCTGTACATTACGTAACCATTCCATACAAAAAAAATATAACAAAAATATTTTCGCCAAAATAAAAAATTTATTCGCACATTTTATGAGTTTTGTATTATTTTTCTATTGGTTTTTTTTAAATTTGTTATTTAAAATTTCCGAATAAGTAACGCTGTATTAATCTTTATACAATTTAACAAATAGCAAAAATTAATTTTTTTTCGTACATTTTTATGGCTGTTTATTACTTCTAGTGTTTTGAGTATTCTAAATAAATTTCATTTTATTTTAAATGCGGTTAAGTATTATTTACTGAACTAGCACGATTTTCACGCGTTTTATTAATAAATGCCTTTTCGCTCATTTAAGTGGAATTTTTTTGCCGGCGTGCGTCGAAAGGAATTTTCCGGAGCCCGGCATGCGCCGCGCGTAACGCAAAGGGAAAACATTTAGCCATGATTTAACGCTCTGGCTTCCGGCGCATTTGAGGAGATGTTTTAAATAAAAAGTCGATAAGAAGCAAAAGCCATTTACAACGCTGGGTGTCCCCTCGGCACCGGCGCAGGGGCCTATATATACGTACACAGTATATTTATATGCGCATCGACCACCGCCAACCGCCGACCGGCTATTCAATTCAACGGGCAAATATTGAACTGCAGCCATCGCCATCTTATCGGCAAAACATTATCATTGATTTTTGCTGTTCCCGCGCGATGGTAATTATTCCACCGATTCAAGTGCACATCCCAGTACAATAAAACATTACTCCGAAAATTGTTGGTTAACCACTTGGTGCCACTCAATGACAGAAAAATCCCTAATTAAGATTTTCTGTTACTGTTACTGAAAAAATTTAATTAATAAATAAAATATTGCCACTAAAATTGCGCGGGCAACGCAAAAAATGCGATATATATTTTCGTGTTTTCCTGATTTCGATTATTTTGTACTACTAATAATTATTTGCGCGAATATTCTTCGTTTAAACTTGTATATATATAATAATAATAAAAATAATTAAAATCGTTATTTAAATTTACAACAGGTTCAGAATGCGTAAACCGCAACAAAATGAATTAAATTCTTTTCAGGTATTCCACTTTACTGTTTTTATTAAAATGGTGAAAATGATCTAAGTATAAATACTTTGCCCTGTAAATTGAGTTTAAATAGGTTGATTTTAATGTGGATTTTTACGATGCCACTTATACAGGAAATTCGGTATTTTACTGGAATAGTGCGACTATATAAAACGAAGAAATATGACGTTAATTGTGCACGCACCTCCGACACTGATTAACTCATCACGACATATCCCGCGTGCATATATGCAGCAAATGCCGGAAACAGTCCCGATTGAACACCACCGATTAATCCACCCACTCACAATCCCAACCGGCAAATGTCTCGCGTCATCACACGCACCGCATGATCAATAATAATCCCGTGCAACTGATGCCGGCAAAGACAAAACATGGAGTAAATATATTTTTGAAGAAAACTTTCTAGGAGCAGGACACAGATGTACATTAATGCAGAAAGCCGTTGTGGGAAACGTTTTCCTGAAAACCACTTGGTTGCGGTTGAAGATGATCGTGAAGGGTTCGGCAGGAAAGACGTGTGCGGAGCGGAATGTTGCAATCAGTAAAGGGCACAGCCGCACTTGGCGGTTGCCGGAATCCAACCGCGGATGAATGGGCGGTAACCTTTTTACAACTTTCACTACATCGCGACAACGATCTTAATCGGCAATTGTTTTGGAAGCGGCAAGCGTCTTTTTTTGTACAGATTAATTTGCCATAAACGGCACATTTCCTAATGCAAATTTCGCAAAAACAAAGTAAACGAAATTTAGAAAAAAGTACTCATTCGTCGATCAGTGCAAAAGCATTTATTAATTGCTAAAATAACAAAATTCTGGTCGTCTGAACGCGGAGTTTCGTAAACAGTTTTGCGTATCGAATTTTAATATTTATTTTGACAGTAATTTTTAGTGGGTTAGTATTTGTACAGGATGTAATATTTATTTCTATTTATAGGTACTTATATTTCAGTGTTTTTTTTGTAAAATTAAGTGTTTGTTTTTTTACATGAATTATTTTTTTCGATGGAGAATACCGCAGCAGTTTATTTGCCGTGGAAAATCGATTTAACGTGGTTTATGGAAGCGATATCTAAACCGCAGCTAACTGTTGATCCACTTTTTTCTCCGGTGCTGTTAAAAATCGGGGAGGAAAAGCTCCGATGACCCAGAGCGGAAGAAAGAGAGAGTGAGTGAGTGAACGGCGAGAAATATGAGCCAACGGAAGCATTGTATGAAAACGGCGCATTGCCGGCAATACTATGCATTTGCGACGGTTTTCCCGTAAAACGATGCCCCATGTTCATTAACCTTGGGTCAACAAGTTGATTCAACTAACACCATCCAGTACACCCCACTGCCATTTCTGACTCGGGTATCCTGTTTTCTGACTATTTTTTATCCCGATCGCACGACTTACTTTACCGACTTCGGAAAATGCCAATTATACCAACGCGACATGCCCCACCCGGCTCGTTTTAGCCGGCAATTATCGGTAAGGCGTGGATTCGTCCGTGACCTTTCGGGTACATAATTACAGACGGTGGAAATTAACACGCGTCTCATTGGCTCATTTATGGTGCGCCGCTTTTAACGACAATCTTGATAACGGCGTAGACGACAGCGTTGCGCAAACGGATATTCAAACAATGGCCGTTTAAAGCCGGTTGCGTCACGACGGAGTTTGTTTGTGCAGCAGAAACCGGTTTACTGTCGACCAGACAGCTTGCGCAACGGGGATATTCAGAACAAAGCCGAATATATCCGGCTATTCCGAAACAAAGCAAAATATATCCGATTGCGCAACACTGTCTGGTTTCTCAAATTTACAAAGGAAAATAAAAACCAGCGACCAACGGTACTACACCGTCAACCGCGGCTTTTTAAGTGCACTTTTGATGACAGCGTCGTTGCGCTTGACTGGACAACATACACCCTGAGTACACTACACTGTACACACACGTCTGTACATGTAGACGTGTCCTGAAAATTCCCGGCACACATTGGCACACATGTTGGCATTCAAACAGCAACCGTCAAACAGCTGAGACCACGGTTGGCGTGCCGCGCGCTGGAACGGGAACAACGTGCGGAATTGTTGTTGTAACGGGGAATTAGCGGATACACAGAGATGTATGGGGAGGGAGAGAGTGGTTTAACCCTTTATACAAACCAGGCCTGGCTTCTGCCAGTCAACGTGGGTAATCCAATCAACGGGCGTGTGGACTGTTTTCATTATGAACTGGATTTTTCTCCTTAACGTATTCTTTACGCTATAATCCGTGTGTGTGCGTGGAGGCTTTTGTGGATTTGAAAGGAGAATGACAATGGGCTGAGCCAATAGAAAATGTCAACGGTTGGATTGCTTTAGCGAGCAGTGCTTGTAAACGTTAGCATACTGTTCCGTTAAAAATTAAATTACACTGGTTTTTCTTTTTCGCGATTAAGAAGGAATTTAAACAGCAACGCTGAGTCGCTGACTATTCTTTATACCAAGATTTAATAAAAATCGCAATAAATAAAAATCTTGTTTACTAATCTCGTTTTATTTTTTTACAGTTATAAATATTACGCGCAGCAACAAATAAGTAACCAACCAAACCACATTTTCCAGAATGTTTTGGCATTTCCGAAATAAAATCAGTGCTCTGTTATTTCGTCAGGGGCGTTGACAATTTCTTGGAGACCTTCTTCGTGCGACTGCTCCAGTTCTGGTTCCGGTACCGGTGATGCCGATTCGGTGCCGGTTTTTCTCTTTTCCGCTTGCAGCTGAAATCGTTTTGCAAGGATTTCTGGTAACGAAAAACGAGAATTAAATGTAACAGAGAAGATCCCTGATTCGTGTATTTGTTTACGCTTTGGATCCGTTCCCATGTCGATGTGTTCGGGGAACGCTAGATTCTCCGGGATCCATTTAGACACGGTGACCTGCGCGCCCTCTTCCTGCTCCGCGGATTCGGGTGTCTCTTCTTCCACGGGCGTGTCGTTCATTAAAGAGGCAACAGCGGCGTCCTAATTAAACGGGTCAGTGACACTCCCATGAGAAAATAATAGCTAGAGTCATAAAGGTCATCTTGTTTAATTACCACTTCCACCGGAGCAAAATGTCCGTGCTGTTCATAGCCACCGAGAAAGGCAAATTTTCCTGGACCGATTGGCTGCAAAATTCCAGCGACCTTTATTCGCTATATTATGCGCGTTTTTGTTTCAAATATTGCTGTGCCTAGATATTTTTAGAGTGATACTTACTGGCTATTGTTGTAGATTTTATTGATACCTTATCGTCGGCAAACTGACCAACGTATTTATGGGATCCGCACAGGATTTCGCCGTTACCATGTCGCTTGTCATTGGTCCAGTACCCGACGTAGCACGCGCCGCTCTGCTTGTACCGGTACTTTCCGTAACCACTCCGTAGACCGTTTTTCCACTGCCCCGAATAGGTGTCACCGTTCTCGAACGTGTACACACCGTAGCCTTCCTTCTGATCCTTCACCCAGTATCCTAGACAAACAGCACCAAATCCTTGTTTACTTTGCCTTTTATCAAATATGTAGTGCGTAAACATTTTATTTTTAAACCTGATATCAAACAGTCATTTATATGGGTTATTTAATTTCTGTACTGTAATTTTGCGCTTCTTCAATTACAAAAAATTTGAATACGTAACATTTTGTCATATTTTTACGCCAATTTATGGTGTCGGTGGACACTAAAGCTGCCTGCGTTATTTTGGTTACTTCGCCACTTACTTAACTGCAACATTTCGAAGCCATTACATTATAGTGGTTCTTAAAACTGCTAAAGCAGAACCGAAGTCCGCACGTTACCTTCATAGGAAGAACCATCGGGATAGATAAACTTGCCATGCCCATGCTTCAATCCGTTCTTCCATTCGCCTTCATACCGCGGTCCGCCCTTGAAGACATACAACCCCTTTCCATGCCGCCGGCCATTCTCGTATTGACCTTTATAGCGATCTCCGTTAGGGAGCAGTGCTTCACCCTCGCCGTGTCGCTCCTCTTTCTCGTTCCTGCCTCCTTCGTACTTCTGCGCTGCAACAAATCATATATGCGAAAATATAGGCTTCCGGTGATCTTTGCATTAAACGCTCAAAGTACTGTAAGCGAGATTGTACACAAACACAGCAAATATCAAAGGATTAGCTTCATTGTTATGTAATGTACCCCCAAATACACTTCCTTCTCCTGTTCTTCATCTTCATTCTCGTTTTCTTCGTCCGACATGTTTTTAAGCGTCACACAGAATTAACGCGCGTGTACCAAGACGCTAATGTCCGTATACGAATTTGCAGTTGTCGATGTCGATGGATCTCGCGAAAGTTGACCTTTAGGTTCTTCGAGGAAAAGCGAGTTGTATCGTACAATTCGAAAAAATCACTGCCGCTGCCGCATATGTCTCGCTAATCGAATGCGCGATGGTACTAACAAAACTGTATTTTTTGCGGATTGTTTTAATTTCTGCACGATATGGGTTTTAGTTCTTCATCTGAATAAAACAGTAATAAATCCTTTCCATGAAATCTCAAATTAATTATTTCTGGCATTAATTTCAAGTGCTTCTGTATTTGGATCGGAAGACGCAAGATGTTGAGGATAGGTCACCTAGCAATTACGCATATATTTTCAGTAACAGGCGTCAAAAATTAAAATTTTCAGCAGTACTTAGCTTTTAAGCAAGAAAATTAATCTTGTCACAGAATATTCACGATGACTTCGCCATGCAACTGTCACTCTGAGAACCTCACCACCATCAGCCAGAAATGCCGGAAAAAAGAGCAAGAACTGGAAGCCCTCGACAACGTCATCCATTCTCTACAGCATAAACTCAACGAACTGCAGACACAGAACAGCACCGAAACGCGGGAAATTGCCATTTTACGCAAGGATTTAGCCGCGCTGGAAGCTGAGGAAAAAGAACTCCGCAGTTTATTGAATGTACACTGAACTGTGCAATTCATTCATTGGTAATCATTTGATGTAAACTGGTCTCCATAATTATTGATGTTTACTTAAATTAAAATTAACTCCGCAATCTATTGATACTCATTTAACCTAAAAACATAATCTGAACCGTGATATTAGTTGCTTGATATTAATTCAATTTATACTGAACAACGCCATTTATTGATATTAATTTACCGTAAAAATAATTCTGCAGTTTCTTGATATTAATTTACCGTAAACTTAACTCCGTAATTTATTGATATTTATTTAACTTTAATTTATTGATATTTATTAAACTTTAACTTTAATTATGTTAATATAATATAAACTAAACTCCACATTGTTTTGGTATTATTGTACATAATACAAACTGAGATCCGCAATTTATTGATATTTATTCAACGTAAACAAAACTTTACGTTGAAAATTTATTGCACCAAATTAACTGAATCCCAAAATTTCCCCGCCACCATAAAATTATTTGGTTTGAACGGAAATCTTCACCATCACTGTGTGCTCAAAAATTAACAAAAGTATCTAACAATTCGAGGTATTTTGCTCAGCCACAATTTTGTTAACAAAAACAAATCTGTCAGTATTAAAATACAAAAATAATCTGTGGTTATTCCACGGAACGTTTAAATGAGAAACAATTTACTGGCACTGCAGAATAAACGGGCTGCCGTTGACGTGATCATCTCCGTATTTGACGATCAGCAGGTATTCCCCGCGTTCCTTCAACTCATAGGTCACCTCGTACGTGGCTTGACCTTTATACGTCATCTTCACTTCGTGCGCGTTGAGGATTTTCCCATACACACCCACCAGCAGCACGTTGTAGCCTGTGGAAGATATCGAATTTAACAAAACGGGTAAATCTTCGGAGCGTATAAACTTCTGAAATAATTCTCTACAGGGGAAAAAAATTATCGGGGAAAAACTGTGCAAAAATAATGCGGGAAAAATTCCACCGATTGTGTCATTAAATGTAAATACTTTTCAAACCGCCATACATTATCAAGGAAATAAAGAGCGTAAAAAAATGCGAAAACAATTATACGGATTGTGTCATTTAAATTTTTCGGGCGCGCTGCATGAACAGCTAATTAATATAAAATAAGAAAAAGGAAAAAATACCATGTAATTATGTAATACTAACATCAACACAGTACAGGCACAGGATTGCTTCACGGTGTTGGTTGTATTCACCAGAATATAAAATGTAAAATATAGATATGTACTTAGGGAATTCACATGTCGGATACGGACCGTACGCGTATAAAAACGAGAGAATCGTAGCGCGATGGATTGACTCACTATTGCTCAGTGGTAATTTTGGGAAATCCGCTTTAATTAACAGACGTTTTAAAATTCCTGTTTTAACCATTTGCCATAATTTTTTAACGAAATTAAATTAATTGATCGGAGAGGTGTTTATAATAATATCAGGAAAAACGCAAAAGAGGAACATCCATGCGTTGGCGACGAACAGAAAAAGTTATCACTGTTCTCAATTAATGATTATTTTTCCTTTACTTATCAGAATCAAAAAATATGTACAGTATCGTTAAAAAATTTAAAAAAACATGTATATATCTAGAACGCTTAAATAAAAAGATAAAAAAATATGCAAGTAAACATACTTATATCAATACAAAAGAAATGATAAAATTCCGTAAAACAGTCTTAACTGAATACAGCGGAGTAAATCTCCGGGAAAATGGAATAACTATTAAAAATCGCTCAACTTACCGGCCGCGTCAGCGCGGACCGTGAAGGTGTTGACCTGGTTGACGCGGGCCCGCTGCACGCCCTCCCCCACCAGCACCACCTTGGAGGCGTCGCCCTGTGCCAATCGCCGCCATGGCGCTCGGCAGTCCGTTCATCACGCTGCTTGTACTGCTGCCCAGGATGCTCTCAGTGCACACACTGGACACCGTCTCGCGCACCAGCCGCGTCTCGCGCCGGATAATCGTCGTACCGTCGCCGGACATTTCCTCGCTGACGGAATAATCCTCCGTCTTCTGGCCACCGGCCAATCCGCCGCCGTTCTTCATCAGAGAATAACTTCCGGTTGGATTTCCGGCGGTGATAATCAGGGGCTGACCGCGGACCGGCAACCCGTCCAGCGACATGCTCAGCGTGTGCGGTCCTACACCAAACATTATTTTCAAAAATTATTTTGTAAACAGAGCCTTAATTTGAACAAATTTTAAAAGAAATTTTGACTGTTTTTTGAGGTTGAATTAACTTTCCGTAAGAAAATCAAACTGAAATTATACTGTTAAAACGCCAGTTTATTTCTTCAATTATACTGTCAAATTATTTTTACATGGTTAAATATTGTACTGTTAAATTATTATGTTGTTGATTTATATTATGCTAGTATTTTTTGACATAAAATTTTTTTCATTATCACAATCCGTATTAAACCTTGTTATTATTAACAGATTTATTAACACGATTAGTCAAGAAAAGGATCACAGGAAGGTGCGCGTTTAGAAAAATTTAACTATTCATTTTTGTGAGCTCTATTTACTCATTCAAAAAATTTACCGAACCAGTGAATGCGAAATCACTACAGCGATAGCGAATCTGAATGATGCATGCGACGATGACGACAAATAACGGCCATAGCATACAGCCATTACACTACGAATTTGTCCAAATCTATCGATTATTAATAAAGCAATTAATTAGAAGAAAAACGCCGTTTCGGACACACATCAAAATGCACGATGATGCAGCAGCATGAAATCGTTGAGAGAAATAAAAAATTCCGTTTTAATATTTTAAAAGAGAAATACGATTTACACCAAAATATGTAACCGGAGAACTTATTCGTAGCGGCAATTTCACATCGTACGAAACATTAGGACGCTTACCTTCTTCAAATACACTGCAGGAGACGTTATACAATCCCGGGCTCTTTTCCGATACCAGCGCTTCACCGGAAATTCCACTGGGCGAATGAATGACCACCTTCAGCGCGGCGCTTTCCCCCACCGACGCATCACGACAGTCCACCAGAAATTCGCTTAGCGTATTCAACGCCACATCTGCAAAAGCAATAAAACCTGCATACAGAATTTTTATAAATTTGAATAAAATACAAATATAAACAAAACTGCACCGGCAACAGTTTTAAAATAAATAATTCAACAAATTTTACAAATGAAACAAAAGATGCACAGATTTTCTGAAACGCACAGCAACAGTAATTATCAGAAAGGAGACGTATAGAAAACATTAATTTATAAATTTTCAAAAACCAAACTGATACTTTTATAAATTATAAAAAAGAATGCCTACAAAAAACGCACAAAAGAAATGCGCAGATGTTCGAGAAACTGAGAAAGCACAGCAACAACAATTTATCGTTAAGCAAAGATCAGATAAAAGAAAACAGTCACTGCACTACGAAAATCTCCCAAATCACCAAATTATTATGTAGCATTACTTCGTGAAGCTCGATTCCTATAATCACCGTCACTATATTTTTAAAAAAACGTATAGAAGTATAAAATAAGTAAATATTACATGAGAAAAAAATTTATAAGCGTTTATAAATAAAATGAAACTAGATAAAAGTATAAGAAGAAAAAATAAAACGAGAACGTAGTCGTACAACAACAATAGTTCTATAAAAAACGTGGCATTACGTACTTGTCTGGAAGCCGATAATCCGCAGTGAACTCATCTCCAAGCTGGACAGGAAGTTATCGTTGGAACGCGAGGACCGCGGTGACAAGAGTGACGGGCCCACCGCCGTGGAACTGCGAACCGGAATCTACAAAAAGATTAAGCACACAAAAAGTTAATATTAATACTAACTAGTATAGAAGGTCGTAACCGCCCTTAGTGCAAGCGAGCGAGCGTGTAAGACTTTTTTGTGGAAAAACTTCTTTGGATAAAACACCAACAACAGTAAACATGCGGGGGTCTGTCTTACCGTTCCCAGCTGCATCATATGCTGGGACATATCGGTAAGCTGTTTACGTCAGACGTCCTATACTATGTCGGTCCTGGCACCGACTTTCAGAATAAGACGACCGTATTTGTTTGTACATCCTTTTATTGGGTATAAACAGGGTATAGAAGGGTACATCCTTTCATTGGGTAATGAAGTCTGCTGTAAATTTTTATTAAGAACCCACAGCAAAACCCGATAAATGATCTCATACAATTCTGGCAACCCGCAAACTTGTCTGTTTGTTATAGACAAAAAGCGATTATTAAACAGATGTCTGTCTGTGCAGAAGTAGCGTTAACTATTTTAAAATTAAACATGTTCAGGCTACCGGGTCACACCGGGTCATAGCCGGCTTAGTGAGGTCAGCCCACTGACGACATTGACGTCCACGGACACGACCACCAGTACTGACAGGTAACTTAGCGGTGACGGGACTTATAACATTGAGATTTTGTTTGTGAGTGCGGTCGGCCGAATGGAATGTTTTGGAGAATAGCAAAGCCGGTTTTTGCACGCAGGAAAGAGTAGGCAGTCGAGAACGGGTTGGCAGTCTGACATAACGCGCTTAGCTCCAAAGGGGTAGTGGATAGTCGGAGCAGTGAGAAAAATCGTTGAGCACAGCTGGCCTAGCGCAAGCCGGTCTTGGGATAGCAGCCAAAAGCATCATGGTCACAGGGAGTGCTGACCGGCATGTTTTAAGATTTTGAGCCAGCTCTTCAACTTGACGGCCGCAACCAGCCAGTAAACAATGCTACACCTGGCGGCGTAAGGGATGGTCCCGAAAGAGCAAAGAGAGTCGCGAAGCGAAAAAATGAAACGAGAATAAAACATATCCTTATTTCAAATACAATATAGAAGAAACACTATTCCACTCAGTGGGATGCATTTCTGCTGTGACTGCAAGAGATAAGGAGAGTAGTTGGCCTTCACTTCGCGGAAAGCGCAGGCTTAAAGCAGTTGAATGTAAAAGTATGATTCAAGTAACAAAAAGTGGTTACTCAAGTAAAAGCAAAAAAACAAGGGTAAGTGGTGGCGGAAAATGATATAGTAATTATGGTAATAACCGATAAGGTACTACTTACGACGGAAAACGATAAAGTAACTGGCAGTTAAACAACGAATAAATGAATGCAAAAGCCAACTTTTCCAAAACCCATTCGAGTCCATGATTTTGGGATGTCAGAGCCACTGCAGTTAAACAACAGTGGCTCTTGATTTTCTTGCGCATACTGGCATGCGGAAGATTTGAAACAACGAAATTCGGTTCCGGTGATGAATAAAAGCAGGAGCAGATACGCGAAAATTTGTTTGAAAATGGCGGTTTGCATTTGACAAAGCATACAGTGAATATTTGACACTCAATTTTTTGCGTTTAGTGGCGGGGCTATCTGGCTGCGGTGGTCTTTTCGTGCCCTATTCGGTGGCACAGTGGCTTCGCAACCCGTAATCAATCGCCGATAGTGTCGGTTTGCCACCCTTAGCCAGCAGGCTGTAGACTTAGGTAACTATCCTGGTTAGCATACCAAGGGTCTCCCGGGTAGGCCTTGTTCTTTTCTACCTTGTCCGTGGGAATGGAACGACGACTTGCCGTCACTTCAGGTAACGGATGCTTTGAACGATATCCGTATCGCAGTGCCAAATCTGGCATTCTACCGTTAAGCAAGGATAGTCGGAGCCGTCCAAGGGGGTGGCATTTATTTCTTTCCCCTCATTCCGGCTGTTGAACTGTAATTTCCGCGCATAAGGGCTCGTCATTGGTGGCAAATTTTTTCAGGGCCCTCGTTTTCATGAGATGCTCTTTGCCACATGTTCTGCACGATGCTGGTATCTTGTTTTCCAGATGGGTGCGGGTATTCCATGGACCGGCAGGTAGGCCTGTTTAAATCTAAGCGCGGAATTTCAAAGCCATGTGGTACAGGGATCCCATACTCCATAAACTCCATGTGGAGGACTATTGCCTGTCTTCCCGCCTGATGGCTTCTTCCTTTTAGGGTGTTGGGGGGAGCAGAGATAGCCGTGTGATCAGCTTCAATTTCGTTTTTTCTCCACTGCCTCTGGGGTTTTGGTATCGGGATAGGCTGGGGCACCCCATAGGTGCAGCTGGTTCGGTTTGCAAGCCATTCTTTCTGTTTGCGGTTTTGTCTGTGTGGAGGTTTCAGCTCCATGTCAATTATTGCGGTTGTTGGCGTCGGCCATATGTGGATCTGATGTGTCAATGCTCGGACGATTTTTGTCTACTCCGGTCGAGTTTAGGAAAACAACTTCTCGAATCACTGATCTACCAGTTATTAAAGGGATTTGTCTGCAGTTATTTGTAGCTGGTCTGCTTCAACTCGAGTCTTCATGCGGGACTTGAGAGCCGTCTCTCGATGTCGTATCACAGTTACCCAGGTTTTGCACATCCCGACGGGCGGCTTTTTGCTGCTGTGAGCTGCGGCCACGTTTTCTTGAGTGAGATAATTATGTTGTACAGCTCCAGCAACCACCATAGGCTTTTCAACGGAGTGTATCTTTTGCTAGAGTTTAGTTCTGGCTCGAGGAACCTGGCAAGGATCTGCATCCTGCGGCACGATACTAAAACGATACGGGTACTTCCAAAAATTGTTGACGGATCGCTCCAAGTTTTGTCTGGTCGAATCTTTCGATACTCACTGACGCGAATTTACTGGTGGTTCAGTGGTGCCTCAATATCTTTAATTGGTTAACCGATCCTGCCGAAAAGCGGTGAAAGCAAGTTCAAATGGCCGGTAAAAGATCTGTTAAAATAACCAAAAAAATTTTACGAAGGGCTTGTCAAGGCTGGACCCAGATTAAGGATCGACTGCCGATCCACACTTCAATTCTGCAGAACAGTTTGGTACGATGCCATTCTGGCGACTCGTCGGTAAGGACGGAGTTTATTTCGCTCAGCAACTCCAGTTAAACTTAATCGGAGTCAATTGAACGATTGGGTTTGCAATCGCTTGATTCTACGTTGCATAAATTGGACGTTGCATTATTGGATACTACGTTGCAATATTTACCTTTAATCTTTAGTGACGGTATCCTGTGATTGTGATAAATGGCTTTAAGTAAGTTTCATAGCGGCAGCCACAAATTTGTTTGAAGCTCGCCTCAAAAGGCGCAATAAATCGAAACCTGCTTGAACTGTTGCAACTGTCGAGCTGCGGGTTCTAGTGGTGGGTCAACCACCGATCAAGATTAAACCGCCAATTCAGGTTCTTGTATACCTTGTGATAGCGACATCGGGTTTGCTTGTGAACGTGATGCGTTTGGTCATATTCTTCTTGCAGCTGGCAACGATTCGGACGTCGCCAGATGCATCAAAAATGTTGCATCTGTCTTTCATTTTATTAACAAAACAAATAAAAATTGCTTTATTTCCTGGTCCGTGTCACGCGAGTACTATCAGTTTTTACGGAGTCTCGACCCATCAGTGAGTAGCAGTCTCGAGATGGCGACGGCACAGCCGTAGAAGTTTGAGCAGCAGGTAGATTGGCTTCGATTGGGCCGGCTGGATTCTAAAATACAGCCGAGGTTTATGCCTGCTTGGTCTTTCTGCATTTTGGGAACCAAGCAAGTGCCTACTGAAAGCTTGCCGGAAAAAACATTTTAAAATTTGAACCTTCTCCCTTTTACAATGCTCAACGCCGTTTAGATATATCAAAAATTCTTCAGTTTTGTTAAACGTTGTTCCCGTGATTTATTTTTTCCGTCGTGAAACTAAGTTCCGGACCGAAAACGAACTTTCCGGGGAAGGTCCAAATTTACGCCCCCATAAAATAGAACGGTGGCTTCGTCTATATTGACCAGGTGGTTCTAAGCGTGACGGTTAACAGCTCACCCAACACACCACCTAAACCCGTCAAAATTCTCGGACTGGGTCAAAATATACGGTTTCGCTTTGCATAAGTACGGCGGGTTCGCTTATAATGCCCAAATGGTTTTCCGTGTGACGGTTCTTCCAAAACACGCCACCTGGACCGGTCAAAATTTTTGGACCGAGTAAAAATTTTACGGCCCTGCCATACTTTAGTACGGCGGGTTCGTCAATAATGCCCGGGTGGTTCTCTGCGTGACGGTTCTTCCAAAACACGCCACCTGGACCGGTCAAGATTTCCGGACCGGGTTCAAATTTACGCCCCCGCCATACATTAGTACGGCGGGTTCGTCAATAATGCCCGGGTGGTTCTCTGCGTGACGGTTCTTCCAAAACACGCCACCTGGACCGGTCAAAATTTCCGGACCGGGTCCAAATTTACGCCCCGCCATACATTAGTACGGCGGGTTCGTCAATAATGCCCGGGTGGTTCTCCGTGTGACGGTTCTTCCAAAACACGCCACCTGGACCGGTCAGAATTTCCGACCGGGTCAAAATTTACGGCCCTGCCATATTTAGTACGGCGGTTCGTCAAAATGCCCGG